CCGATTCAGATACATCCTTCCTCTCAGCTGTCCTCATAAACAAGAGCTGTATCCTACTGTCTTTTAAATGTTCTATTTGTGAAGAAACACCTGTCTTTAAGTATTTTCTTCTGGGTTTAAGTTGTGACACAGGATTCAGAAGCAGAGCCCCTATGGAACCATATAGTTTATGCACAATATGTAATATATTATATGTGACATTCAAATCTTCAGTCTGTCTCTGGGAAGTTGTCTTATATAACAACAATATACATGTTTCAAATGTTGTTATTTCTCTTTTGCTATGTTCATTTTTCATTTTAATTTAGGTTGTCAATGAGGCTAGAAACAAAAATCTCTTGATGTTGCTTTTATTCATTTATTCCTAAAAAGAGCCAACAAAACAACAAATGGATGTTTAAATGAAAAATGATGATGATTTCACCCACGCCTAATTAATAGTGTAAACTGAAATTGCAAGCAACCAGTACAGCTGATTGGTGGCTCAAACAAGTGGAGTAGAAAAATAGTTGTGGTTCACTTACAAATGGAATCCGGGTGTGACAGTGCGGCCAGCCAAATCATAATACGCCGACTGCCAACCCAGTGGATAAAGTAGGTATCACTTCAGTTTCCTGGCTCAAAGCTGTCAAGGCCACAGGAGCAGAGCCATCACATAAAGGTCAGAGGCACTAATAACAACAGTTACCGACTGAGCTAACGCACAAATATAGTCTGCCCCTGGATAACAAGCCGGATTCATGTCAACACAATATTTTCAACATGGGCCAGATGGTAATAGTATATACACAAGATAACGTTCTGCTGCTACCCCTACTCCAAGTATTCCCTTTCAGCAATCTTGAACAATGGAAAATGCTAAAGGAGATGCCAACATATTCTACCTGCTGCTGGATTCTCCTCTTGCTCCTCTTTGTGTCATGGGACCAGCTGTCAGCCATAGAGCAAAAACAGTGATGGCAGGTGTGCACTGCTGCAAGTGTGTGAGAGCTGAGTTCAACAACAACAACACATAAAAACTATTATTATCCGTAAGGGGAAAACAAGCAGACATGACAGCAGAGTGGATTAAGATAATTAATATGAAATCACAGCTATCGTAATGTTATAAATTTGGCTTCAGTATTTGGAGAAACCTCCAATCCTGTCCGTTATCGTAGGAAAGGTTGACCTGAAAACATAACATTAAAGCAAGACAGTCATGCTGTTAAATACATGCTATGTTTTTTCTTTAGGAATTTAGTATAAAATCTATATAGATTATCATTTTGTGTGCAAACAGTAATATCAATCTGAAACAGATTCAGAAACCAGTCCTTTGACTTCCAGTTCAAAACTGCACTGATAAGACAGCCTCTTCATATGTGGTAATAACAAGCAGCAGATTTTCATTTATGTGTGTGTGTTTTTTTTTAATTGTTATTGTTGTTGCTTTATTATGTGTTTTAACATAAATACAGAGTACAGCTCTGTGGACATAGAGGGTAGGTGAAAAAGGATTTTTTTTAGCCCTCAAGTCAAATACAGGACAAAAGGATTAATCAATTGAAATACATCTCTGAATAAGCTAATGGTGAAGGAAAAAAAACATTGTAAAACTGTTTTGAAGACTCTATTTTAACTTGAAGACTATATTTATGATTTAAAATATTTACTTTCATGTATCTGTTGATTATTGTTTGAACATAATGTAATTATATTTATCTGTTCTCAACATGGTTGATAGCTAATAAAAGTTGAAGTTGAAGAAGCTTGGACCAGTTTTGTCAATGAAGTCAAATCATTTAGTCCTCATACGTGTTCTGGTCTCTTGGGAACTGGCTACATTAAAAAGTAAGTTTTGGTCTCCACAAGTACTTATGCAACTACCACATTATCACAATTATATAATTAGGGTCGCTTAATTAAATCCCATCATTGTCACTCTAAGACAGTTAATTGCAGCCTCACAGTACAACAGCTTTGAAAGGATTAAGGTTAGCTTTGTGACTTCATTGTGACGTCAAGTTTTTTTGTATACAATCGCTATGCTGTGGTCTACAATACAAGGTACATCAGTATGCTAGTCTAGTTCAAAGTAAAGAGTTTTACTTTGAAAGAGATGCCTAATATATGGAGAACAAGTATTTAGAGCTTTAGTGATATAACACCTTTTCCAAATATACTTAAAGAGACTTTGTCCAGACTGTGCTTACTTCCTTGTGAGCCATAAATCTGCCTGTGATTGTACAACTCTATAATATTAATGTCCTCTATGTGACAGTGAGTGACACAGACCAGAGAGCCCTTGGGGACATTTCAGTGCAACAGTCAGTGTGCAGAGATTTAGAATATTTGTCTTTGCTTGACAAATAATTTATTCTATTAGCATGATTATTTTATACTTATTTTATACTGTGTTCCCATATTAGCTACCAGGCTGTTGTGTTTTATTCACCTATCTAATGTGAAGGTCAGGTTGATGAGCCCGCTGCAGAAAAGCTCGATGTTGGGGAAGTTGCCAGATAGACGTCATCGCTCACACTGACAGAATCCCACTGGCCCGTCCCATCTGATACTAATAGAAGAGTTGCTGTCCATTTCTTTGAAACTGTTGCACATGAAACAGCCAGCATCTGTTGAGGTAAATGTCACCATTCAAGACGCTCAAGATTATCTGGGACAGTGAAACCCAGACAGCACAATGATAGTGGAGAAATAAAAAATAAAAAAAAGTTTTTGGGGTTGAAGTTTGAAATATGCTGCATTGATTTTATAAAATGTCTGCAATAATAGATTTTTTTTAAAAGTTTGGCACACACAAAAAAATAACTGTCGTTTTTGAGCTCCAAGCAGTAACTTTATGACACGTTCACTGGCAAATGTGGAAAATAGCCAGAGGCGGCACCCACTTCCTATGTAGAACCAAATCAAATCAGCTCACTGCTTCCCCAGTCTGATCAATAGCTCCTCCCTGAATGTCCCATCATGACAAAACCAAGCCAGCAGCATTAAATAGATGCCTGTACGTGCACAGTAATAATGACATTCTATAGTAATGTCATACTATATTCAACCATATCATTTTTTTCTAGAAAAAAAGATATAGGATTTGGTTTGTTGTTTTCCAGGCTTCCAGAAAATAACGTCATTGGACATAACATGCACATGGCCAAATTACACAACCTAGGTAACATTTTAGGTGAAGCTACACCTGCTGCTGTTTACCCATTTGTGTTTAGTGGTGCCTTGATCCTAAATTCAGATCAGAGAATTCACTTCTTTTCCACAGTTTATTCAAAGACTCGGAAAATAAAATGAAGCATTCTTTCCGTTATGGTGAAAATGACTTCCAGCAGAGCGCTCTGATAAAGCCTGGGATCTTTAAACTAGTTGGACTGCTTGACTTTAGTGAATTATAGTAAATGATGATGCCAGCTCTGACAGTTTGCAGCTTGGAATTTGGACCCAAATTAGAATAGTAGCACATGTCTACAGTGAAAGACTCCAGATGGCTTGATTTAGGAAAAGAAGAGGTCAAAATGTAAACTCATGTAAACACAGATGAAAGATATTTTTCAGTTTTATTAAAAATCCAAAGACATGACAGTTTTCAACAACTGCAATATTCTCAATCTAATTTACAAAAGATATAAAATCTGTACATTCTCAGTGGAGGGTGGGAGACCCTGGTAGAAAAATATAGACCTAAGGAGAATATTTATAAGCAGATAAGATGCATAGTGAACAGTGCAATGTTCACTTTCACGTGATGTCGCATGAGTGTGTTACCCAAGTAAAAAACAAAACAAAAGTAAGACTGAAGTGGTTGTGTATGTGTGATCCAACACAGTTTAGTTATAAACTGATCATTGTTAATAAGACAAAGGAAGGGTCTATTCCGAAATGACACAACTTGACAAGACCCACAGAAGAAGGGCAAAGGAATACTAATCTGCCCCAAAACCGATTTCATTTTACAGACAGAAGGGGAAAAATAGGTCTATATCCACTTAGTAATTAGCTTTTTTCGACTCTTACAACAACAAACATTTGGCTTTGGGTCGTAAAGTATAGCAGGAAAGTGCAACTAAAGCTTATGAAAACACTTCAATAGTCTCATGCTTGTCTAGAACTAAGAAAAACCTTATAGACTGAATTTGCAATCTCAAAAACGCATACTTAAATAGGGAAACACCCTTTGGCTCCTAGATTTAAATGTCTACAAATACAATATGTAACTTAGCAGCATATTTCATTCACTTGACATTCACTTGTTTTTCAGCTCAGCTTGTCCCACTAAACTGTATTGCACATGAAATAGTGACAGTACTGTGTGCCGATCTGCGTCTTATTGCTAGTCCCTATGACATCTAATGAAGTGTGTGCTTAGTCAAAAGACAAAGCTCTCAAGTGGCCTGCTCTGTCTCCTGAGGAAGAGGGTTTGTTAAGGTGCACAGAGAAAGAGATGCTAAACTTAGATACGACGTTAGCTTCAGGAGCAGGTTGTCCGTGTCATCAGTCTGAGACCCTTTTGTACTGTGTCACGCTTTCAAAGCAGAGGATGGTTAAGAGACCAGCTCTTTAACACTGCTGCTGGGGGGCAACATGTTGTCATAGCAAGAGCTCATACTGAAATGATTCTCAAGGCTATTAGGTTTAATATGTGATAAATTATATTTTAGCTCCAAAAATGATTACATTACTTTACACTGCGCACATATTTGTTGTCCCCAAATTGTGTTATTATATTATAAGTGAACCTTACTAAGCAAAATAACCTAATATTCTCTGATATTTTCTTGTCAGTGTGTCTTGTCAGTAGTGGATTTGTAATTAAAAAGAGCCATTACAACCAATTGATGCATTATTTATAAATTATGGAAGCACAGATTAAGTTGTTGTATTATTGAGGCTGTTCACTAAACTGAATTCTTTAAGTGTTGGTACAAACATGGGGCTGATGTAGCCCCACTGCCACAATTGGCTCTGAAGACCTACAGTGTTGTGTAATACTAACATTGTGATCACAACATAAACTTCATATTTCTGATTCTGCGGTCAAAGGCCTTTCCTCCAGTGTTGGAGAGTCCAGGTTGGGATCACAGTCTGACACTATGTCAATATTTGTATCATCAAAGGTTTCCATTGGCCTTGTGTCTTTGCTTTCTTCCTCCTCTTCCTCCATCTCCACTTTCTCCAGAGCCACCTCGTTCTCATAACAGAAGGAGTTTCTAGAGCTAGTGTTGGACTTCCTCTCAGCTAACTCCCTGGCACTGCACTGAGGAGTGCTGGGAACCTCATAGGTGTTATTAAAGCGGGAGTAGTCTACTTTGTAATAGTTTTTCTCTTCAAAGAGCACAGGCTCAAAGCGGTGACCCCAAAGGATCTCACCAGCCACATAGGAGCTGCGACACTGTGTGGTCATGGCCGTGGCTTCCACCATGCCCTCCAAAATCACCACTATCTCAAAGTCAGATGTCTCCAGCTCGTGCTTGTTCATCTCATAGAAGGGGCTGTCCTCATCAATCTCATGCACAATAGTAATGGGAGACACCAGGAAGATTCGATCGATGCCGCTGTCAAAGCCCACATCAATGTCCACCTGGTCCAAAGGGATGAACTCCCCCTCCACTGTGGTGCGAGACTTGAGGAGCTGCGCGCGCACATGAGCCTCCACTAGGTGGCTTTTCCTCAGGTTGCCCACCCTCCACATCAGGCACAGTTTGCCATCTCTCATGGCCACAGTGGCGTAATGGCTAAACACCAGTGTCTCATTCCTCTTTTTGGGTTTAGCCATTTTAGCCATGACAGCACCAATGATGAAAGCATCGATGATGCAGCCCACAATGCTCTGGAAGACGACCATAAACACAGCAATAGGGCACTCCTCTGTCACATAGCGGTAGCCATAGCCAATGGTGGTTTGGGTCTCCACTGAGAACAAAAAGGCAGCTGTGAAGCTGTCAACATTAGAAACACACATCTGAGTCTCGTTCTCTAAGTCCCCGTATGTAAAAGCCACTAGCCAAAAAGCGAAACCAAAAAAGAGCCATGAGAGCAGAAAAGACATGCAAAAGATAAGGAGCATATATCGCCAGCGAATGTCCACACAGGTGGTGAAGATATCGGCGAGGTAGCGCTGGCCCTTCTCGCGCATGTTGATGAACTGCACGTTGCAGTGGCCGTCTTTACTGACAAAGCGGCTCTGCAGGGGGCGCTCAGTGTGCACCTTGTTCATGTTGCCATTTCCATAGCCGTTCGGGACGGCCACGGTGGCCAGCTTCATGCCGTCTTCCTCAGAGGACACAATGCTGTAGCGGTGGCTTCGCACACTCCCCATTCCCTCGGCCTGGGAGGGCTCAGCCAGCTCTGCTTTGGAAAACAGTCTGAGTTTTTGGTAGAAGCGTTGGAGAAACAGTTTTGAATGATCCCGGTACCAACTTCAGCAGAAAAGTGTTGATCAGGAATTTATCCTGATGGGTTCAGAGGTCGCAGGCCCTGTGATCCAGAGTTGGTCACTCCTCTTTAATGGCAGATTTGGACCTCATCACTGAAGTGGACTGTGGAAATTACAGAGAGAGAGTTTTAACATAATTAGGTGGAAGAAGAGCACAGATCAGTGCGTGTGTGTGCGTACTTACCTGCTTTTTAAATTATGCATTATACACTCAAGTTTAAGCCACTGTCCTGACTCCTGACACTTGCATACACACACTACCATGTACTGTATGTATGGTATACAGTTACAACAACAACAACAATATGTTATGCAAGCCTGATTAGGACCTGATCAAACATATTTACGTTCTCAGATTGCCGACAAAGTGAGAACTTATGTTTACGGCTCTTAATGTAAGTATTAACTAGACAGTCTAGGTCTATGGAGAGCTGTGTCAAATTACAGTTCAAGTTCACATTAACAGTGAGCAACTGGATCTAAGATGACACTATAGACTGTACGTAAGCACTTTTTACAGATGAGCTGGAAACTATGTACATCACAAGTTTCCTACGTGATGTAATTTCCTGATAGTTTTGATTGCGCAAAGTTATGATTAAAAATACACAAAACATGCTACATCCTGTATATTTTTTCACAGTACAATAAACATGTACTGCATCCCATTATATAGGCCTAAAATAGAAGGCAGAAATTAGAAATCTTGTAAGCAAAAGCAATCTGAAATGTCACTTAAAATGGGTGTAAAAGAAGAACACTGCCCGAAACCTTAAACTTTAATTAATTGCTGCTAATCGTCATGATCAATTTGTCAAATTGCTTCACATGAAATGCTTTACAGAGACAAATACAGAGAAATCTCTGATCCATACAAATGTCCCTGCCCTTCTCATTATTATTATTATTGGCTTGTTAATGGTGGCATGCACAATCTGTGATTGTTTGTTTTGCATGAGTTCTTCATTTGAGCCAGAGCAGCAGCTGATGCAGATGGAAACTGGTTACATAAACCTGCTCCATTTGGTATTACATTAATCAATACTAAAAGCCAATCATTATGTAGATGGAGTTCTTCTCTAAACATATATTTAAGTTCTATATTTGTCAAGTTTTTCCAAATCTTAAATAATATCTCTATAACACACATGCCAACAACTGTGTTATTAGAATAACACGAAATCTTGCCAATAATAATAATAATAATAATAATAATAATAATAATAATAATAATAATAATATATTATTATTATTATTATTATTATTATTATTATTATTATTGTTGTTGTTGTTATTTTGTCGCCTGCAATCCTCCAATAAAAAGAAAAAATTGTTTTTGGCACCTACCTTTCTGCTTGTAATGTTGAAATCCTCCGCATTTTGTTCAAATATAATCCATGGTGCATCTTCATGCGCTTGGCGAATCTCTCTTGTTGCTCCAGCTGCTGCTCTTTCACTTTGTTCACGGAAGTTCCCGCCAGGCGGTGTGAATGGTGCCATCACCCTCCCCACTAACTAATACTGACTTTTGGGGTCTTGCATCGACACACTTTTAAAACACGTGTACTTCTGCCAACCCCTCTGACGCGCCATTGACCAATGGCGAGCTGCAGCGCGTGTCCGCGGCTTTCATCCCAGAGCATTCATTGAAAACGTTCACTCAGCGGCTAGGTGATATTTAGTGTGCATTTAAACAGGTCACGTCGAGTCAACAAAACAGCAATTATTTTATTTTGGAGCGGCCCACGTAAGTAGGCAAACTTACTTTTTCCTGTATATTGTATGTAGGCGGTAGGCCTAACCTAATGTGTGGTTGAATAGCAACCATTTGTGCACTTTGTCAACACAAGATGGGGCTGTAGGGCTAAAATTAAAAAAAAAAAAAAAAAAAAAAAAAAAAACATCTGTGTGCTTTGCCGATAGAACTTCTAAAATAAATGAATGAGTGAATAAATAAATAAATTAATTAATTAGAAAAATCAGACTTGAAGATTAATACATTTTATTATTAATAATTGTCCCACATATACACATATTTACAGTGAAAACAGTTTAAATTAATTCTACAAAAAGGTCTGCTGCACAACTTCTTCAATAATATCAGGACTGGTTGAACTTGTCATTGCTTTTAGTTGCTGCCGTGATTGGTTGTTGTTCAGTGAAGGCCTTCCTCTGTCATACTCCTCTGCGCTGATCATGGGTACTGGGACCCATGTTGTCTCATTGAACCGTGCGTAGTCCACATTGTAATGCTTTTTTCCTAGTTTGAGCATTTCCTGGAACCTCTGTCCCCAGCGGATGTCTGAAGGTGTGTAGGACGTCCTTGTTTGATGGAGCATACCAGTGGAGTCGCCTGTGTACGTGAAACAAACCACTATTTCAAAGGCTTCCTCATGGAGATCATCTTTCCTCAAACTATAAAGTGGACTGTTATGATCAATTTTGTGAATGATTGTAGCAGGAGTAACCAGAACCACCTCTTTTTCCTCTACTTCAATGTTCTGGTACACCATCCTCAATGAGCCCGCCATTGGTTGTTTAACATGGCGGACCAACTGTGCTTTAACAACTCCGTCCACTATGTGATTTCCTCTGAAGTCTCCAAGCCGCCATGACAGACAAAACACCCCATTTCTTAAGTTGACCACTGCACAGCTGCTGAAACGTACAGTCTGAGCCCTCTTGCGTGCTGAAGCCATTTTTGCAACGATGATACCAATGATGATGGTATCCAAAAGGCAGCTGAAAACATCCTGTATTGTGACCACTATAATAGCCACTATACAGTTTTCAGACATACCTCTAAAGCCGTAGCCGATTGTGGCCTGGGTCTCCATTGAGAACAAAAAGGCAGAAGTGAATCCTCGGACATTGTACACACACAGATCGTCATCTCCTTTGGTGGCATCTCCATTCACATGAGCAATGAGCCAATAGCAGAGCCCGAAGAACAGCCAAGAGAGGATGTAGGACAAGGAAAACATAAGGAACATCCCCCTCCAGCGACACTCAACCAAAGTGGTGAAAATGTCTGTGAGATATGGACACCAGCCCTTGAGTGAAGTTTGGAAGTCCACAGGGAACCTTCCATCCTTTTGCATGTAGCGTAAAGGCTTTTGCTTGTTTCGGAGTTTTCCCAGATAGTGCAGTTTGGTGTAGGATGTTTCAATGACTGCTTCCTCTCTGAGTGGCTGCATCTTCATAACAGACCTGTCCTGGTACCCTTAAGAAGACAAAGGAGATGGAAGGCAAGAATGAAACTTTGAACTATGTCAAAGAAAATATGTCTGTGAACTTTCAGATAAACTTTTTCAGAAAACTGTGTTGTAGTAGCAGCCCAGCTGTACAGGCAAAAATACTCCAGACAACATTAGTTTATGAAGCTACCAACTTACTCATACTCAACTTACTCAAAGTTCATAAGAGGACATTATAAACACTGTTTATGGTAAAGCCCAATTCATGGGTTTTAGAACGATGAAAAATTAGCTCCATACCAACCTACTATTTAAATAAAATATATTATATCTTATATTATGTCTTTTGAACGGGAAATCTTCCATCAAATTAGTTGTTTGATGACAGATGAATGTTTCATCTATTAAAAAAAAATGTCCCTGCACACCTGCACACCAAAGTAAGAATTATTCAAAAACAATTGCTGACCCTCATTTCTTTCATATTATTACACTTTTAAGTCGGTAAATGTGTAGAATAGAATAACAATAATTTTAGCATAAACCCAGCCTGCACTTTACAGCTGTTTTTTAAGTAACTCTATTGGTGCAAGTGGCTAAAATATGAGAGGAATTACAGTATGCATGTGACATGTAAAAAATTAAAATAGACTTTTTCCCTGCACACCTGCAAAACAATGAGATGAGATAAATGTATTAATTTAAGTGTCATTTTTATGTTACTTTAAAATTTAATCAGTAACATAGGTAAGAGCATTGAAGCGGCCCCTTTCTGGTAAGGCCTGTTACGGTTAATTAGACACAAGGCCAATCTCGTGACAGAGTTATTAATCTCTTTTATTCTTTGTGCGGCTAATAATTATCCCACAAACAGCTTTCACCTCCAAGTGCTACCGTTAACGTCAAACTTTGCCCTTTTATAAACAATGATCTAACAGTGTCCCAAAGGCAGGTACCTCTCTCTCCTGGCTTCAGTCAGTGGTGACCATAAACATGCATGATCAATATGCATTCACTTCCTTATGATAAACCAGATCATGACAGGACTTTGTTCATTGCTGTACTGCCATAATGAAAGACATACCACTTGTTTATCACATTTTATGACAGTTTATAATTAGAACTTTATGAACAACTCCTGTTTTTATTGTCTTATATCCTTCCTTTTCAGACACCATGTTCTCGTAGTTGTATATTGACACACATGTTGAGTGAACAGTAACTTGTCAACAAAATTTCATGAATTTATTCCCAGCCATGCATGACCCCTAAGCATTTTTAGCTTGTGTCTCTAGGCAAACACAAAGATTTCATTATGTACCAGTGTCAGTGGGTCTTAACTGCGAGGTTAAAAACAAGTTAAGGCAACTTGATCATTAAAAGGTATGTTTTATTAAACTATCTTCTTCTGTCTATCTTGTCTTAATGTTAACACTGCTCAATTAGTTATATTCGTTTTCTGGGTGAATAATCTTTAGTAGAAAGATAACCTCATATTCATTTAATGTGCGTTTTTCATAACTTATAATGGCTTTTCATTTGTAAGCATTTTATATACCATATTTAAAACAACACTAAGCAAAATGTTTTCAGTACATTTTAAAATCATCAGACTTTTTCATATATAGACATACTGCATATTCTTTCAAAGTACAATGAAAATGATATTTATGCATAATCTATTGAAAGTAACCAAATTTGACTTACCTGCAGTGTTGACCTAGTTTGCATCAGGTGTCACCAAATCCCATCTGTTGGTCTATTTCTTATGATCTCTTCCAGAAAAACGCTTGCCTATGGTTCTGAGACAGGTGAAGTGAGCTTGGGGAGGTTTGTTTCTTAGATAAAGTCTCACTGGGTTCTCATATCAGTCACCTCTCTTTGAGTCCTTATTGGACAATCAGCAGGAATTTATGACCTGTGGAATATTCTGAAGGTCCCTTGGGTCAAAACACCAAACCAGGTAATAGTGGGTCTGTCATATGGCGCAAGCATGTTTTGACCACTTGCTGTTGTCCATATGAAATGTACTTTTTTTTTTTTTGGTAAATGGCGAAACCTCTTTGATCTGTGCAATAATACTTACTTAGTTAAGATAAGGTCTAGATCACAGTTGTACGTACAAATTTTAACACTTTTATTGGTGTTATATAACAAAATGGGACAGTTTTATTGAGGTCAGTAGCAAATAACATTCAAAAATATAATTATCTGTTATTTTCTTCAAAGATGTCCGACACATGAGGTAAGAACATTCCTTTGAGAGATAAGTGAGCAGAAAGTTTCATCTGAGACAAAAATGTAAACACTTTATGACACAGTCCATAAACTGTTCAGACAGTTATTGATTGATTAATTGATTTTACCTTATGTGACTGGCAATGCAGCTACAGAAGGATGCTACAGGAAAAATCCTTTGTGAATGCTTGAAATTACTGAGGATTTGTAGTTTTGTTGTGTGTTATTGCAATGAATGGGTGATAATGAGGTTGTCTGTGAATGTGTCTGTGTGTGTTTAAGGACCTGCTCGTAATAAGACAGGAAGACGACAAGGGTCAAAAGTCACGGACAAGTTAGAAAGAAGTAAGTTTATAGAGTTTGAGAAAAATCTAGGTTATTTAGGTGACTTCAAATGCTTTGTTTATGTTATTATTAGTGCCCCTATTTTGACTTGTTTTGGGGATATAGGGAAATAGTTGCCTTTTTCCCATTCGTCTCATATTGTTTTATACTTTTTAGTCAGTGGATATATAATATAGAACAATCACTTTAGCATAAATTTAAATCCACACCATACTTTCTAACTGTTCTTTAAGTAACTCTAGTAGTACAAGAAGCTGCAACATGAGAGGAATCTAGTTATTACAGTATTGGACAAAGACAATTTTCTGTTTATTACAGTGCAAATGTGATATGTAAAAATGGGTATAAATAAAAATTATGAATTGATTTAATGCATTGTACAGTTTTATGGGCACATATATGGATAATGCAATCCCTGGTCCCGTTAAAGAAACAGCCACCTGCATCTCAGCATGTCAGTTCGTGAGAGCACTCTTTTAATCCTCATGGTTCATTATAATGCATTATCAGCCACTCTGCACAAAACTAAACAAGGTGAACACACAGTGGGCACAATACATATCTTGTTCTTGTGTTTACACAGATCTCAGGTGCCCACACACACAATTAATTAAATGCACTGATGTTTTCACAGCAATTATGATCATCTAGTTTTGCTGAATGTGAATTCAGTTTTGGAGAGTGTAAACGTCACACTGGTTGGTCTTTTTAAACTTGACCCTAAGTGGTAAAACAGACAGAAGGAGAGAGACAGGGGTGGTGCAGTGATAAGTTTTACAGTTAAGTGTGATTCAGATAGCGATGAATTTGGAAATATATACCGCCCTTATGGTTCTGCTTTTGATGAGAGGTAACTATGAATGATTGTGAAATGTAGTAGATGTTTCACTTAAATTAAATGAATGTTAATTTTTAGGGCAAATATGTGCTCAAACAAACTGAAACTTTTACTTGGAAGTATTCTCACATTGTAAAGAGAGGATCCAGATATTTCACTAGAAATTACTCATTTAATCATTTTGTTGACTTTTCTTTGTGATTTCAGGAGCAGAGTCTGTATGTACAACACGGCGATGTCTGGCACAAATGTTGATTAAAAAAGAGCTGAAGTCCCAGCCTCAGTATGAAAACTGCTCTGTAATCATTGAAATACCTCTTCTGGAATATCAAACTCTGGCAGTAGTAAGTACTTCTACAAAAAATATCAACCAACTTAAACTATTGCAAAGGATGTTATATGACTGTTGGTATACATACAAATGCCTGAAAGTGGAAGTTACTATTTGTTTGCACTATTTCAGATTGCCAAATTAACCCGGTTTAACCATTTTACTCAAATAAGACTTTTTACTGAAATAAAATTAGAAAAGATATTTTTAAAATGATACAATTTATCATGGAAAAGTCCTCAGCTATATCTCATTGTACAGGATACAAAGAATCTTCGCCTGGTTAGCCGTCTGCAAGCAATCTTAGTAAGTACTTTTATTATGATATATAACTATTCCTATTACATACTTGTTTGGTTTATGGTTAAATTGATCCTTGTTGAAACACAGCAATGGAGAGATCCTGAGATGTCCTGGAACACTTCCTTATACCAGTATGAGGAGGTGTCTGTGCCAGTAGATAGTGTGTGGACACCTGAGCTTCATGTCACCAATGCGTAAGTAAGACACAAATATTTTTTGTATAATATAAAATGAACTCATTGATTTCATATCTTATAGAATAACAATTACAACACAGCCCAGCTCTAAAGACCTTGAGGTGTTAAGTGATGGCAGAATGAGACATGAAATTATCCTGAACACCGAAGTCAACTGTGAAGTAAACCTCTTTAACTATCCTTTTGCTGCTGATGCTTGTCCAGTGGCCATCCATATCTGGAACAGTAAAAGTAAGTATGATGAAGCAACATTACACTTGGTTAATTCTATGCACAACAAGTATTTTCATGTTATATTTTTAGAATGTGGTGGAGAAATGAGACTTGATGAAGTCAAGATGAAAGATGGGGCACATGGAGACTGGCAAACAGAAGATGTTCACCTTGATCAGAAAGGAGGAAACAAAAAGTTTATCTTAGTAAGTTAACACATTACAGCACAAGTATTTTTAACTAATGAAAAACAATTGTAAGACTGAATTATTACAACTTTTACACTTAAGTACTGAATCAAAGAACAGATTTGTTTGGATCCAGAGGCAGAGAAAGTTTACCACTGTTTTGAACACCGGGGGTACGGGGTTTTTATCATAGGGTACTTGGTAAAGTTTCAAAAGAAGATATAATTTAATAGTATTTGAATATAATATATATTTCTTTTTACATCTTTAAGAATGTTTTGATGGATTGGGGACTTTAATATCATTCTTAAAGCAAAATACACTTGTACCCAAGTTAGGGGGTATTTGGAGTGTCAGAAAAAGCTGAAGTGTTACATTACACTTCCCCTTTTTTCTTTTTTTTTTACTTGACTCTAATAATGACATCACTGACTGGATTACATCTTTCTCATCTTCAGGTGGAGCTGAGAATTCGTCAGAATAACCCCTTCATCACTCTGATGTTGCCCAGTATTCTGATTATAATGGCTGATGTAGTAAGCGTTGCATTGCCACTAGAGGGCGGTGAACGCAACTCTTTCAAAGTCACCTTGGTGCTCAGCTTCACCATGTTCCTGATCATCCTGAATGGAGAGCTTCCCGGAGACAGCCAATGCAGTCCAGTTATCAGTATGGAATCTCTATTGGTCCATTTATAAGTAATGCTATTTGCTGAATACAACATATTCAAATTAGAATGAATTAATAATTAAATGACTGTCCATTTAAACCCAACCCTAAACTGATATCTTCAGCACAATACACATCTTATACTTTTCTTACAGCTCAATACACATCTCTTACTTTTACTTATACATTATTCTTAATTTTTTGCTTTTTTACATTTTTATATTTGCTTTTTTTATTGCATCTAACTTTTTTCTTCCTATCTGCATGATTATTATTTTTTTTTATTAGTTGTCTCTCTACTGTGAGATCAAAGTTATATCATATCTTATATTTTTATCACACTGTGCTGCAGGGATCCACTTCTGTGTTTGTCTCATCACCTTGGTGTTCAGTATGCTCGTGTCTATGGTTCTCACACGTGTGGCCAAAGAAGGTGGAATTATCTTCTGCTGCTTTTCAAAAAGGTTCCAGAAAGAAAATGCAGGGATGAAGGATGAAGGTAAAAATAATACACTTTATTTATATAGCACACTTCCTAAACAAAAAAACTGTTGCACATACAATATAAAGTTGGAAATATAAAATTAAGTTCTATTTAACTGCACTAGTCCATAAATAAACTTTATATTACGTCAACAGAAATTTTGGGACCTGGGGCAAGAAGCTTCACATGGGTCCCTCTCTAATATAAATTCACTAGCTAGGACCACGCCAACGACGACATAGTGCGAAGAAGTTTATTGATGATGTACGAAGCAAGGCAAAGATGGCTGGGTTGAGACTATGGGTGGGGGCTCCGTCTCAATCTACAATTGGCCCAGCCAGAACGGGACCCCCCCTTGTAGGGGTCTTATGACTAAAAGACAAAATAGGGGATGGGAGGGTGGGGTCGAGTTAGCCGAGACAAACTGGGATGATGGGAAAGGTTGCTACATATAGGCTTCTGGGAAATTAGAGGCGTGGTCGAGGCGAGTTGTGGTTCGCTGGTGAGAGGAGAGGGCGACTGAGGCGTGGTCCTGCTCCTGAATCTCAGTTAATCGTATTAACTACATTTAATAACAAAAGGGTCCAATTCTGGGCTCCTAAAACCCTGGGACCCAAGACAACAGACCCATTTGTCCCCCACTGTCTACTGCCCTGATTTGAAATAAAATTGTATTCTACTCTATTTTGGTTCTCATCCAGAGTCCAGGCCTGACATCAGTGTTCTCCACACTGAGCCTGCAGAGGAACACATTCAGATGCTCAGGAAAGTGGTCAGCTTTCTACAAGCTCTTGATGCAAAAAAACAAGAAAGTGACAAATATGAGCGACTTGCAGATGCCCTTGATAAATCTTTTTTCTGGATCTACTTTGTTTCGAGCATAGCTTACTTTATTGGAATGTCTTATGTCATGGTCAATCACATTTGTGTTATCAACCATTTCGACTTCTGGGAGTAAAGGAGTTGTAACTTCTACCATCTGGTGTCTGAACATATTCTAACTACATTAAAGAAGAGAGATGGGGTGAAGAAAAAAAGCTAAACACTAGTGTGAGTATAATTATTTTGTTAAAAGTGTCAAATAAATTGCTGCGTGTAAAATGTTACGTTCATTTTTGAGTTGAGTCAGGAAATAAAATACGCTTGTATCTTGTTATTGTCTGATGGATAGTGTGTTACTACCACCTAGTGGAAAGACGTTGTACTGCTGCTACTGCATGTGATCAGCATACTCATACCTGAAAACATCAATCAGTAACAGTGTTTTTAATATTTGTATTATTATAATAATGCTTAATATAAATATTTTATTTTTTAAATTAAACAAAGATACAATAAAACTAAAACTTAAAATGTACAAGTTAAACTTTTATGATTTTATTGACAACATTGGACAAACTAAACTAAACAGCTAAGTTCTTTAAAAATATGCAGATAAATATTGCATTAAGTTGTTTTTGGTTTGGCATATTTATGATTAACAGATGGGCTCAGTGTGTGTAGAGCAATTACATCTCACTTTCACCATGTAGCCTCCATAAATCCCCCAAAAGCCAGCAATATATTCAGTTTACAAAGCCCATGGCAAAGAATACAATTTGACTGTACCAAATTTCATCTTAAGGTTCCTCTGTTGTCTTCATTGCCTAGATAGATAAGTAGATAGATAGAAACAATATGTTGATTACATGTCACACCACACTAAACAACAATGACATTACTCTACATACCTGTTTAAAAAGCTGAGCTCCCAGGTAGCCTTTAGCAATATCTTTCAGATCTGATCTCCCACCGACTTTACACCTCAGGTAGCCATACAAATTGGCCCACTGTAAAACCAGACCCATGACTACCACGGCCTACAGGGCGACAACAGACTTAAAATGAGAGTCATCAAGTAATAAAATAGGTCAAATACAGCATTAGTACTGACCAGCCATTTAATTTGAAGAGAGATGATAGTGCTGAAGAAAAACAAGATCCAGAAGACAGGGCACACAGTCAGACCAAGCCAAAAAATACGAGATTCAGCACCAGAGATTGTGCTCTGACTTTGTGTCTGCTAAAAAAAAAGTAGAGTAAAATAATGGTATACATCCCACTGAAGCAAATTTCACTTTAGTTTCAGTTCAAATTTAATAATCACTTTGAGTCAGAGTGACAGAACTTAAATGATCTGAAATGCGTTTGGATTTACCAGAACAAGCCCATAAATATATCATGCAAAACCATTGTTTTGACCTTATAATTATACACTTTAAAATTTTATTCTTTACTCAATATAATTCTCTATCTACAATTGCAACCAACTTCCAATGGCTGCCAAATTAATACACAACATTACAAACATTAAAACACAATTCATATACAATTCAAAAACATCTGCTGCTTAGTGTATCCATGATGTACATTTGTTGACTTAACTTGTTAAGTTTTTTGTATCTATAAATTTTTTTTCTTGTAGCCATAGTCGTACTTTTATGCCTTATAAGAGTTTTGTTATTTGTTGCTTTCCTCAGTTTCCTCAATCGATGTCATTGTGGCATATCTATTCAGGGTTTATAGTCCAATGAGATTCATTTGGTCTTCCGATATTCTATGTTATTAGGTTCTTTTTTTCAGACCTAGAGGGTTTATAGTTGATATGCACACTAATAATAAGTGGGTCTAATTCTTCTATGAAGACCAAATGATCATTTCCAAAAACCAGCAGTTGTGTGGGTTCTAATACAAAGCTTGCCATCTGTGCATTGGTTTGCTATCCTTTTAATTTGTAAAGAGGTGTATGAGACTGTTCTTGACATAAAAAATGTGGTTGACCATAGTGTGTATCCTATCACAAACCTTCCGTGACTCAAATATCCAGTGACTATTGCCATTTTCATCGACTTGGTTCCACCAGCGCAGCCCAACCAGCAGTCTCCCAGACACATTCTAGATAAAATTTAAAAATATGACATAACCTAATAAATATAAATTAATACAACAAAGTCCATTACATTCTATGTCACATACCTTGACAGTCCAAAAATCACATGACAGCAGGAGGATAATTGACACCATACAAACAATAAAGCGACTGCTGAAGAATTCACACATTAAGTAAACAAGAATGGCACTGGTCCGAAAAAACAGGTGGAAGAATGAGACCATGGGATGCCTAAAAACCAAAGAAGACTTTAGTTGGGCTAACATTTATTCTAAAAGCGAACACAAGAGGATTTCTCACTTAATATTTGACTTTCTTGTGTGAATGCCATCATCGTCTTCACCAAAAAGTGGAGGCTCTGAGTACTGTAATGTAGTCACAGTTAGTATGATATTTGTGAGAGGTGCAAGATACACTGCTGTAGTAAAGTCTACATGTTTTAGCAATGTAAAACGATAATATAAATGTAATCATAGGCTGTAAGTTAAAAAAAAATTATGAGAAAAAACTATCGTTTACCTGTCTAATCATTTTGAGAGAAGACACCTGTATTTCCGGGTGACGTGGATGTAAACAAAGCGGTGTGTGGAGGACCCCGTAAGTTGGCTTGGTATTTGCCTGCGTTGTATCATATTTTGTTAAAGTTTCCGCATTCACACTATATAACAAAAGGTTTAAACAAACCTAGTGACTCATTTTACAACCAAACCAAATGTACAAATTAAGCAATAGCTACTATCAGAACAACTCTGTTGTAGGTAGGATGTTGTAAAAACCTTGCACGTGCATTATTTCACGTGTTTACTGGTGACAAACTAGTGAATGTGTCATTTTTGCAGTAATGTGAAATAACCATCTCAAAGCTTTGAGATCTCCAAAATATGATGAAAGGTAAAGAGCATCAATGGAAAGGTAGATCGACTATAACCAAATATTAAGCCACATTGTTGACATTTTTATTAGCCAATATTTCGAATTAAGAGTGATTACTTTATGGTTACAAAACTGCTTTTACCGTAGTGTACACAGCATGACAATGTTTGTTCGGGTCATTGGGGCCAATTTAGGATTTTGCAATCCAGTATGACAGCATTGTTCAATCCAGAAAATACCTTGAAGATGCTGATTAACAATATAATCTTTATAATGTTTTCCTGGGAAGCAGTCAGTAATGCCAGGAATTTTGTGTTTCTTTTCAGCAGAAAACTCAAGATTCTGGGAAGGGGGCAAACTTGCGTAACTTGAGTGACATGTTCTTACACAATTATCTTCAAACATGGCATCTACTGCTAGGGATGTGTAATATTTAGTAGCATAAAAGGATACTTAAAAATAATTAAGAAAAATATCAAAGGACACTGTGATTTCAAGTTCAGTTCATTTTAAATACAATATACATGAACAGATATATGATATACAGATCACATCAAATGCTGAAAACACTTCTAAATAGAAACTATAATACAATATTTTACAAAATAGCTTAATAGTATATATTTCATTGACCGAACATGCACATACGCACACACATATCCTATACTTTTGCACCTTTATGAACACAGAAGCACTTCAAACAAACTCGCAACTGAATGCATTCTGTAAAAGATGCCAAAAGGAAGTCCAATATTAACTATGGCTGCCCACATGCTGAAATTGTAGAAATTCACTTCCGTGTCATGGTCAAACTGAGGACGAGCACCAAAGGCAGGCATGATCCATAGCTGCAAAAAATAAACACTTTTAAGAATACTGTTTGTGAAATATGTTAATAGTAAGATGTGTAAAATGGTACTTACAATGATGTTGCCCAGAAGCAAAAAGGCACAGACTTCCTTCACAATTCTTCTCTTCCATGACATTTTGTGCTTGTGCTCAGGGGCGTGTTCATGCAGGACAATTTCAGAAGGCATCCTTTGGTCCAATTCTGATCCTACGGATTCCTCTTTCTCTTTTAGATATGGGTTTGTGACGATTCTAACAGGATGGATCTCATGGTGTGGCTCCCGGTGCAGTCCTTCGATTATAAAGAAGTTTTGGAGGCTGAGTTGGATAATCATAATTATCGCCCAAGCCAGATTGAGTTTGTTCAGGTGACCACTTGCCCCTGTGGCTACCATTGCTACAATGCTGAAGTAACTAATGATGAATTGACCTAGTGATGCACCAACTAGCAGCCCAACATCTAGACTTCGTGTTGGGTTCTTCTCTGATACATGGTCCTTATGGTGCAGTTTAAAAATGCCACAACCTAGACCACTTGCGAGGGACATCAGTGTAACTATCACAATGTTCATTACAAAGTGAATCATTAGTGCATGGTCATTCTTTGAATCATCATCATCATAACTGTCAATTTTCATTTCCATCTCATATATAATAAATGTGGCTATGCCTGCGACAACTATCAGTACCCCTGCAACTGGGCCAAAAATAACTTCTTTGAAATGGAATTTGAAATGGTGGTGGCTATGCTCATCTGCTACTCGTGCAACATTTTTCCACATAATATAGGCCATAGCTGAAGCGAAGAGGCTGTACTCAATGTTAAAGGGGTATAAGTAGTAGTATGCCTCCTTAAAGACACTGCAAGATGTGTGGCTGCATGTGCATGTGTCATCACCGTAGCTCGCTGTTGCAGAAGAGAAAGATAACAGTTTTTTATAATCATTTCAAAATGTGTATTGTATTGTATGTGTTCTGATTGAATACCTTTGGAAATGTAAGAACTTCGGCCGCTATATTTGGTTTTGTTGACTGCATAGTCAGGAAATGATGTTTGATGAAGAGATTCCTCTGTAACTAATGCCATCCACATGACTAGGTTTGTGGAAAGCGTAATCATTATTCCACAACTGAAACAAAAATGAGAAAAAAAAAGATGATAAACTATTATGAACACAATATTTGCTTTTATTACAGGATAAGACCTACCGTGATACGTTTTTCTGGACCTGCACACAGTCTTTGGCATGGAACCACATGAAGTAAGTCTGAAACAAACATCATGATGTCAACTTCACGGACATAGTGGCTGTATGCATTTAATGGTTACTTAACCTATTACATCATTTTACCTGTGTGGTTATAAATGCAATTTGAACTACAGGGAAGGCGACTTTAACTGCAGAATCACAGTGGAGGTACCCCACGTAGCTCGCAATCTTGAAAATATTCATGATGAAACTTAGGATGCCAAAACAGACCAGACCACCTACAACAAAAAACATTTGTGGCTAAGACAAAAAATCTATACATCTGTAGATATATTTAAGTATTTAATTTATTTACCTCTGAGCCAGATTGGTCCTGCATGAGAGTCCTGGTACACAATTGCATGTTCCTGCTTGGCTGTATAGACGGAATAGTAAATCATCCATGCGGTGGTGAGGATGAGGAGTACAATGAGATAAATCTGCAGGTGAGTCGTGCTGATTTTGATGTCCTTGTCGGCACTGCCACTGACCAAAGCACAGCCCAAAAGCAGGACATTCACACAGATAATTCCAGACCCCATCCAGCCCCAGTAATGACTCCGTTCTTTGTGTGCGACCACAGCAGAGGAGTGGGAGAATTCCGGTTCACAGGTGCTCTCTGCCTGTTCTGGGACCCCCACAGTGTCGGGCAGGTGGGCCCCCTCTGCCTCCTTGTCTTTCTTCGTCATCCTGCACGGTTCACAAGGATCACCCTCCAGCAGGCATTTGCACTGATAACCTGTTTTCAGACACATGACCTCTGCTGCTCTTTCAGCCTAGTCTCAAATGAGTTATCTCTAGCCACATTTGCTTATATACTACTAGAGGTTTCTACAGGTTTAACGGCTACACCCACTCAGTTACCTGCTCCGAAGAAAGATCCCGCCCAAGTGAAACCTTGAAGATAATCAGCATAAATGTCAGCCTGCCACCATACCAGATTTAAAAACAAAACAAACAAACACTTAACAAACTTGACATATCAAATCTTTATTTTGCCACCCACATGCTCAAACCTGTTTATTAGACACATATGTGTGTGCGCCTGAACCCAAAAACCTGACAAAAAGATTCTAAGAAAAATCATTGATTAAAGGATGATGTTGAATCCTACCTGATGCAATTTAGTCCTGGGGGTATCCTCGTCTGTGTGCCTTTTATAAACCTTTCAAAAAAGGTAGTTGACTTTAGAGGGTCATAAATGTCAATAAATCAGTTAACCACAGAACTGTTTCATAATGACACCCACTGCCTTTTGAACACAGAATAAATGTTCAAACACTGTTTCTATGGACACTATTTTCTTTCCAATAAAAAAATAAATAAAAAATGCATTGGTTCCTCTTCCTAAGTAGCCCATTTTTATGCCACCATACACAATTAGCAAACAAAGGTTTGCCTGAATTTGCCTCAAGAACTTAAAAAAATAAAATAAATAAATAAATAAATAAATATATATATATATATATATATATATATATATATATATATATATATATATATATATATATATATATATATATATATATATATATATATTTTTTTTTTTTTTTTTTTTTCTATAAGCTGCTATTTCCCAGTAAAAACATGTTCCTTTTTGCTTATTTGTGGAAAATTCCTGTGGTGTTAAAAGACCAAGCCACGGCAGCCCATTGTTATGTAGGTTTCAATGAGGCAGCATGCCACAGTCTGATTCTCTGCTGCTGCATGTTTCGTATGCAAAGGTCTTATTTTTAAATTTCGCCGGATTTAACACCATTGACTTCAACATGTAATAGCCTACATTCTTCTTTGTGTGCACCTTTATCAAAACACTGTAGCAAATACTCAGAGAGGACAATGGCTCTTGTCTTTCAAACAATGATGTACAAGAACATGAAACAAAAATAACAAACACCTTTCTTGTTTGGAGGTTTGAAACAATTTATGTGACTTTGCACAATGACTTTTTTGTCTGAAAAGTGTTGACCTCCACCATGGAAATGTACTCTGGGTTTGCATGAAACGCACAGGCCATAGCCTTTTGGCCCTGATATTTGCTGGCGCATGCTTGACCTGACTGTCCTGGTCAGTTGTTGCATATTTCAGCACCAACATGACGGCCTCCGGCACCGTGAGACATGTCGCTAGAGTACACGGAAGCTGTCCCTGGTAAAGCATGTGAATTGGGGCAGACAGCTCGTCAAAAGTGCACAAGCTAGTGAGGACACTGCGCAGGTATCCGATGTCTGCCTATTATGACAAGTCACATAATTAGAGACCCCATGAAATAATAGCTAAACTGGGCTAGCCTTTTTCATTTGCCACCAGGGGAGTATCTTTCATCCTTAATGATCATGGACTTTGGGGAACAATACATCGTCGCCTATAGAATGTACAGTAGATTTTAGTGCGCGATATCCGTAGATTTGCACTATGCATGGCCCTACCTAATGTATGCAACTCCTCTGCTGGGAGCACTGCACGCAGCGTCATCTCCTTGGAAACCGCGCTCTCCCTCCAACGACGCTTTTGCGGCGAAGTGCACGGGACAGCACGAGCTCCAGCGGGACAAACACTCAAACGGTGCCCGCTTACACTATTGCGCTTTTTCCTCACTAGACTTTTATTGTGGAGGATGCTGTGGTTATCGCTTAGAGAGCACAATGGAGTCAAGAAGGGCGGATTAACTTTGCACTATGAATGACAGGTACCATAAGGCGGCCCGGGATGGCTACCTGGACCTGCTTAAAGAAGCCACAAGGAAGGACCTCAACGCTCCGGATGAAGATGGCATGACACCAACACTATGGGCTGCTTATTATGGGAACCTGGAGGCCCTGCGACTGATTGTGGCGAGGGGGTGGGTATATTCCCTTATCTGCGTAAAATGCAAACTTTACCTGACCGAGCCTATTAAAATGTGACAGTTACTGTCTTTATACTTGTCAAAGCCTCATGCAATTTATGTAATCACCTGATTTACTAGTCTTATAAACCTATCTCTCTACGCTTTATTTTGGGTTACAGATCATCCAAAAAAGCGCCTGTGCCCGCAAGCAAATCAACCTCTATCCATTCGTTCAAAACACTCTGTGTCTTACCCTTATTTTTACAGTGTTTTATATTATTTTGGCTCTGTCTGAATCCCAAATACTTCGGTAGCACGTGAAGATGGTCTTCACGTTTTTATACTATACAGGAGGCTAAGTCTAAGCATATCTTAATACAGTGCATACAGTAGGCTGTATAGTTTTTTAATCGCCATTAGTTGGATTGGTCACGTAGGCTATTGCATGCAAAATTCTTAAGAATGTCTCTCTAGAACATCTTAATTAAACACTTGGTCTATACAAAACGTGCTCCTGAATGCTTTATGGGTATGGTATGCTTTATTTTCCATGCACAAGTGCATGCAATTGCTCTTCTCAGTGAATTCCCCATTTATTCTGGCTGACCTGTTTCATGGGCTAACAGAGAAATGGTCTCAATGTGTGACACTTAACTGGCGACAAAGCACAAATAGGTTCCTAATTTCAATTTGATGCTCTTTCCCATAATGCAAATCAGAAAGTTCAAGGATTCTAGTCATGAGATTGAAGTAATTTCACTTTCATTTGTCACCAATAAAAGAATGAAATCAAAGTGTGATATTCCAAAAGAAACACACACACACACACAAGCTTCTTTGCAGACAGGGCAAATATTAACTCTTGATTGGCATGCAGAAGTGAAATTGTTCTGTAACAGTAGTTAATTGGTGATGTGACACTTTGTGGTGCTGTACATTTCTGTCAAACCCACATTGGAAATGTAAACAGTCTCTTGTGATAACGGATAATCTTGAGCTTCTGTGGTCTGGATTTGTATGTGAAAAGCATAATAAAGCTGTCTTGTAACTGAACTGTTATAGTCATATAGAAATATGTCATTTCATAAATAGAAGATGTGATAACTTTAGTGTTTGCCTTGTCATCATCTGATGATATTCCTTTATTTAGAGATACGTTTATGGACAATGATTGATACCTTGAGCACATCTTCTGCTTACATAATGCTGTTACCAAACTATAGCCTACTTTTCTCTCACATCAAAATCAGAGGGAACTTATACAAATCGCTATGGAGGCTGACAGAGACACATATCCTGTGAAAACTTAACAACGCAATACATCAATAATACATTTGCACAGTGGCTTCACGACCGTCACATGAAATATTAAAGACTTTGTACACGGTCACACTGGAGGGCATGGACAAGAGGCAGAGCTGTAAACAATCAAAAAACTATTTAGCACCAAATATCATCAAAGATCATTTAAATGATAGACATATGGAATAGCTGTTTCTAGACAGGTCATTCATTGGGGATTTCATGTGGAGAGACACTTTTGAAAACATCAGTATTTAAAATAAGCTAAGTTTGGCATGGTGTAATGACCTCACCTGTGGCTAATATAAGTTATACTTTTTAGACTCAAGCTTTTAAGGCTTGTGTGAAACATGATCCAGGTGTAATGCAATGTAGTGGTGCTGCTCGTATTACAGACAGCGACAGCAGTACATTCAATAAGGTAACCCTGAGGTCGTGGACTGTCAGCCAAGGGTTAAAGCTGTCCAAATGTATTTATAGACTATTGTTATGGTGTGTGCCTAGCCTCTCCTTGTATCAAGGCAGACTTCTTTGTTAAGTGCAGTTGGTTTGCTTTCCAGTTATTATAATGGCATTTTGAGAAGTTGGTTTGAATAGGCCTACTTGTATATTTCTGTTATTACATTATGACTTGCCAGTGCCCAATTACAGAAAGAAATATTCATATTCATCATTGAAAACATGATTATTTGACCCAGTTACCTAAAATAAAGTTATTAACATATATCTGTAATGTTTTGTGTGTTTTAAAAACTATTGTAGATAAACTCGGGGTAGAATGAGTGGCCATTTTATTGAAGGTTTTCATGTGCTTGTTTCCATGTTACTGCTGTACATGGAACGTTCCTTAATATGGCATTAAAATGATCCATCTGGACCTAGTGGTGTTGTCTCTTCATGGACTTGATCTATAACTTTGCCTGGTGGCATCACGTGCTTAGTTCCATGAAGATGTAAATTTAATGCCATACTGTCGAACATTCCAGGCAGAGTAATAACATCTCCACTGAGACATGCAGGTTGGCAGAAAAGTTACATAGTTTATCTTTGTAGACCTTAATGTTTTTTTCAATTTCTTCACAGAGGAAACCCAGACAAGTGTGACATATGGGGGAACACACCGCTCCACCTCGCAGCAGCCAATGGTCATCTAAACTGTTTGTTCTTCCTGGTGTCTTTTGGTGCCAACATCTGGTGCCTGGACAATGATTACCACACACCGCTGGACATGGCCGCCACAAAGAACCACATGGACTGTGTCAGATACCTGGATTCTATAGCAGCCAAACAGACAGGCCTCAATCCTAAACTGGTCAGTAAGCTGAAGGATCGGGCCTTCCGTGAGGCTGAGCGAAGGATCAAGGAGTGTATGAAGATGCAGAAGAAGCACCAGAAGAGAATGGAGAAGAAGTTTCACAAGGAATCTTCGGAGGCATCTGCTTCAGATGCCATGAGTTTCTCCAGTTATACAGGCAGCTCTGTCAGCCACAAACTACGAAACTTCAACCCAGGAACTGTCAGTGTGCCATATTCTCAAGTAAGTCTTTTTGAAGAAGCTTTTTGAAGTCATCTTACAATTTTTTTTCAGTAGATGCTTCTTTGTTAATTGTCTATTGTGTTATATATTTTATGATGTGGAATGTCAATGTTTGTGGAAACCAGTCTTTGTACTGATCTATCTTCCTCATCATGTTACCTTGTACATGTGCTTCCTGCTAGGCTACTCTCCATGCCACTAATCGAGGCAAGACAAAGATCCAGAAAAAGCTGGAGAAGAGGAAACAGGGAGATGGTACCTTTAAAATTTATGAGGATGGACGGAAGAGTGTACGCTCACTGTCTGGACTTCAGCTGGGCAACGACGTGATGTTTGTCAAACAGGGGACCTACGTGAACCCCAAAGACCGTGGGCGCCGTAATGTTCGTGACATGTTCCCCAGAGACAATGACGATGCTATCTCACGTGCCATGAGTGAGCCAGACCTCCATGGACCGGATGTAGACTATTCTGAGATAAGCACTGATTCAGGGCATGATTCTCTTTTTAACAGGCCAGGGCTGGGGACCATGGTCTTCAGAAGAAACTATGTGAGTGGGGGCATGTTTGACCTTGGACGGAGGGATGATATTAGCGTGGCACAGTCTAGTAATACTGTTCGGTTGCGTAGTAGACTCCAGCCTTATACCAGTATGGATGAAGACAGCATAGGAAGTGCCCGGAGCCTTCAGGAGAGGAATATAGAGGAGCTTCCCTGGGACGAGGTGGAATTAGGACTGGACGATGATGATGAACCAGACTCCAGTCCTTTGGAGGTGTTTTTGGCCACTCAGAGCATGAGCGAGTTCTTCTCCATCTTCAAACGGGAGAAGATTGACCTGGAAGCACTGCTGCTGTGCTCAGATAATGACCTTAAAAGTATTCACATACCCCTAGGGCCTCGCAAGAAGATACTGGACGCCTGTAAAAGACGTCTAGAAACCATAGAAGATCCAGACGCTATTGAGGACACTGAACTGTAAGTACTGACAGTCCAATGTGACATAGTAACCCTGTTACTGACAAGATGCATTCAGAGAGGAGCGACCATGGCTTTATGAGTCGTAATATCTGTTGCCCTGCAGATAATACAATTAGCTGTTGGTCGTGAGCTCATCCAGTTTAAAGGTCAGTGGAGAATTAAGTGAATGTCTCAAATAATGATAGAAATGACAAGGACTTTTGATAATTCAGTGTAACAATGCACAAAGGCACCTGACAAAGACAACAGAAAAATAAAGACAGTATTTATTTTCAATCAGAGTATATGGGGTTCTACCATTCTGTGGTGGTGCAGCCCATGGAGAAATTCTATAGGGGTTTCCTGTGCTGCATGGCCAAACAAACTGAATGAGAGGTCCCCAACCGCAGTGCCATCCTTTGTTCCTGTACGCCATGGAGCACGGTTAACAGAGAGGTTATTGTGGGCCCTACATCCCACTAATATGTCGCCCCTGTGGGGTCAATCTGGCCATACCATGTGCCTGCATTGATAGTGCCAGATCATTTTCTGTATAGATTTGTTTTGTAATGTCTTTAGTACTTCTCACAGTATCATTATTATGTGCATGTTTACATTAAGCCATTATTTGTCTGATAAATGTAACATTAAAACTTCTGCACATAACACCAAATTATGAGATAAAGTGTCAGAGCTTGAACCCAGTGTTTTTTAGACTGTTTATTTACCGCCTTAAATAACAAAATGTAGTATGTTTGCAAATGCACAATTTAACATTTTACTGTGAAAATGCACAAAATAAATTATTTTGTTTCATCATATTCTTGCCTCAGTTTTAATCCCCAGTTGGAATCTTTCCATATCTAATATTTCCATTTAATGATATTATTGCATTGCAAGACAACTTTTTCTTAGTTTAGTTTAATATGAAAAAAAGTGATGGTAAATTTTGGATCTCAAACACACAAAACATAAACATGTGCAGTTAATGGTACAATTAGAGCACATATCACTCACTCTCATTATGACAGATGGTAAAACATTTCTGTTCATTCTAGAATTTCTAGAAAACACATCCTGTTTTGCTCCTTATAGTGACTCACTGTATTTGCTGTAAACCCTCGTTAAACTTTAATACTGAAGGAGATAAATAAGCTCAAATATGCATTTCAGTTATCTAATGTTTACCTGCTCAGTGAAGACATTTCCCCCTAGATTTACTGGCACCATGCAGGATATAAACAGTGGAATTATTGGTTCTACTTGGTATTACTTAATACTTAAGTTCAACCATTTTTTGTAATAGACAAGACAAAATATATACATATTTTTCACTGACTACTATGCTTATGTTTATTTTGCATGTTACTCATTTTGCAAACATGTAACTAAGCAGTCACACATCACAGATCGTAAACTGTTGTTGTGTAGTCCCCTGACACTTTTTTTATTTGCTCATTTATTAATGATTATGACTCAATGCAGGTCAAAGTTATTTCCTTATTTGGCAATTCTGGAAACTACCTGATTCAGCTGATGATAATAAGCTGCACACTTTACAGCGGTCAGTGTGGCTATGTGTGAGTGGACTCCGGAAGTATGTTATCTGTGTCTGCCATGCCTCTGACATGACATTGTTGTTCACGGGAAACTCTCTGAACCTCCCTCAAGTGTCCCTCAGTAGCAAAATACTTCTAATCCTGTTAACTTGTACAACATTTTCTTGCTTTGTTTAATTTTTTTTCTTTTTTCTTTTTCTCTCTTTTATAAAACCTTTGTATACTGTCAATTAAATGTTATGTCGTGTCTTTTTTATGCAATTCGTTTTACAATTGCGATAACAAGTAATTGTGATGTACATTCTGCAAAGAGTCACATTTACTTGTTATGATAAGACTGATTAATTCATCTGACTTTTCACCTTTGTGGACCAGAGGAGAGGATGGTCACTCCCTTCCCATAATGCACTTGTCACTTCCTCTTCTCATCGTCCGGATCTACTGTGTCTCCTGAACCCTGTGTTGCTGAATAGAACAGGGAGGGCTGGAAAGTGAATACACTGGATGGTAACAAAATACTTTAGGCGTGGTTTGCATTTTTCTCCCTTTATTCATTCAAGATGTGTGGAGCTGCAGATGTAACAGTGTAGCTCAGATCTGCTGAAAAGAGGAGATTTTTAAAGGATTTAAAAAGAAAGAAGGAGAAAACACAACAAAAGATTACTTCTTTCACCATGGCGACTATCAACGACATCACCCAAGGGGATCAGAATGCAACTGAAGAAGGGATGACAGTAAAGCAGCAGTTTACCGGAGATGTAATGTGTGATTCCTGCATTGACAGTCCAAGCAGGGCCCTCAAATCCTGCCTGACCTGCTTAGTGTCTTACTGTGAGTCCCATTTAAGACCTCATCTGGAAAATGTGAAATTCCAAAACCACCAGCTGGTCGAACCCCTCCACGACATCGACTGCCCCACCTGTGAAGTCCACCATCTGCCTCTGGACCGAGTATGCCTGGACCATGGCTTCTATATCTGCTCCAACTGTGAGACAGAGGTGCACGAGGGTCACATGACTGCATCTGCTGAGGAAGCACGCGCAAAGATTGAGGTAATGGGGGTTCATATTTACAGCTGGGTTATAAATGGCACAAATGTTTATATTATGCAGTGGATTTTGTAAATACATGAATTCTTACAGATTGAGTTGCAGGAAAAGCAAGCAAAAATAAGCCAGTGTGTGTCTGAAGCTGAAAGAGCTATTGGAAAGCTACAAGGCAACAATGACACAGTAAAGGTATGAATTTTTGGCTTACACAGGTGAAAAATTAACTTCAAGCCAACCCCTTTACTTGCATTTTTTAAAAAATATTTTCAAAAATTCTTTTTGGTAGAAATGTCCTGGGTAAAAAAAAAAAATCTATCATCTGTATCAGAACTGTGTTGTCTGTTTCACACTGAGCACAACCCTCCTGTGCTGGTGTCACTCCATTGGTTCCCCGTCACATTTAGGTTTAATTTTAAGATTCTGATGTTTTATTTTTAAATGTTTAAATGGCTTAGCCCCTGAATACCTGACTGAGTTTTTATGACATTATGCCCCAGTCAGATCATAGAGGGTAGAAAACCAGCTTTTTTGTGCCCAGATTTCGACTGAGAACGCCAATTTATAGGGCCTTTGCTGTAGCCGCCCCCATTTCTTTGCTTTGGATTTTAATGCAATGGCATTTTACTTTAACTTTTACACTATGCATTTGAAGTACTACAATATTTTAGTAGTACTTATCCCAATGTACGTTCTATACTGTTTTGATATGTTTTTTTAACCATTTATTGTGTATGTGAAACACTTCAAGTAGCTGCTATTTTTGTAAATGTGCAATAGAGATACAACTGACATTGACATTGACATTACAAAGTCAGACTAAGAACAAAGTGTGCCATGGTTTTTAAGATGCCACCATAACTTGTCCATTATTTGTCATAGTCAATTGCTGCTTATTTACTGTGATAATAAAGTGTTGCTGCATACACAGTCAGGAATTATACGCTTATCCTGGATTCATTCTTGTTTGAGTCATTTCATTCCACTTTTTTCAGACATTAGTGCAAGACGTCAGCGCAATGATTGAGCTTCAGTTCTCCAGGCTGCAGAATGCTGTGGAAGAGGCCAAAAGGACGGTCATGGAGGTGCTGGACAGAGAACAGAGGCAGGCCCTCCAACAGTCTGACAGTATACAGGCCCATCTGGAGCAGAGGAGAGAGGAGCTCACCAAACTCCATTCTCACACAAACAAGCTGCTCAGGGCCAAGTCTAACGTGGAATTTCTACAGGTATGACAAAAATCTATATAAAAAAAGTTGAAGTATAAAAATAATGCATAGGGTCTACATTTGTGTAAATAAACAATATACAGTCTATGATAAAAACACAAACTAAAATTTTGATGATGATAAGGTGCACTAGGTCCACCTGCATGACTCCATGGAGATTTTATGACATTAAACTTAACTATCTCCATGGAGACAAGCTGGTAATGCTACCAGGTCAAATTACAGATCAGATCTGAGTAGAGGCGACTACACACACACAGTCCATGTTTTAAGATAATTTGTATCAATAAAAAACACAGAAATAATTGATAATATGTCATGCAATGGAAAAGAACAGGATTAGCATGTGATGTTGTTCTGTCCAGGGATTTGCTTTAACCTTTCTATTTGCAGTAAACATGAATTTTAATAACTTCCAAGAACACAGTGAAGATTTGGGAAAATCCATTGTTGAACACCATAATATACGTAGGAGGTCTTGTTTTGACCCATAACATGTTGTTACTTTTTTTTTTGCAGAAGTACTCCGAGTGGAAGAAAATGTCAACAGATGTGTCTCTGCCTTTTGTCCATAATAAAAATATGGAGCATCTCTCCTCTTATGTGCAAACCGTAACAGACACCACCCAACAACTGTGTGATCTGCTTCTCTCAAGTTACAAGGAGAGCATGGACGAGGTGTTCAAAAGTGGTGAGTGGACTTGTACTCCCAAATACTCTCTGGGTCTAATATAATAGTCATTCACATTTTATTAGAACTGTCATAATAATTGGGGCTGGGAATCACAGGGTCCCTCATGATTCACTAAAACACACAATTATACAAATATCATGAATTTGCAATACATAGAACCAAAAATTGCACATGATATTCCGATTTATCACTAGTTTTAAGAATCAAATATGTTTTAACAACATGCGCAAACCTAATATGAAATACACAAATGTTAATTATTGTACATTATAGAACTGTTATAAAAATACCAAAATTATCCAAAAGGTATCAATAAAACCTGATGCATTAAAGTCACAGTACTTTCACTAGTACTTTTCAAAAAAAAAAAAAAAAAAAAAAAAAAATGAACAGACCTAGAGTTTTGTTTTGTTTCATTCACATATGTGATGTTTAACTCACAAATCCTCCATATTTAGGCTGAGTTCTTTTTCAAATGGGAACCACTCTGTTTCACCTGGTGATGTCATAGGATAATACAGGCAGTGCCCCACTGTGTTGTTTAACTTCATACACCTTCAGTAGAATCATTTGGATAATTTCAGCCCTAGAATCCCCAATCTCTATTTAACAAAAGGTAGAAGGTAGCTGTTAACTTGAAAACTAATTCTTCATGACATCACAAAGTGGAACAGAGTATTTTGAACTTTGGAGATGTAGACAGACTAATAATAAAGGATTATTCAAACATTTTTGATGAGGTAACCAAATGGCAAAAAGCAAACAAGAGTCAATTTTACGTAATATATGCCCTTTAAGTGCACTGAATGGTAATATTTTATTGATCAATATTTTATTGATTCATTAGGCTATAAAACCAAGCCCAAGGCTGAACCTTCACCTCTTCCTCTGCCTGTGACTAGAGAGGACTTCATCAGATGTAAATATGAAAAATATAAATTTACTTTGTGCTCTACACTTTGACCCATCATATGACATGTATAACTGTTTTCTCCTTAGACCAAAAGAGCCTGACATTTGATCCAGACACCGTCCATAACTTCCTGCGTGTGACGGAGGACCACAGGAAGCTGACCAACACCAGTCCATGGCAGCATAGTTATGCGGACACTGCCAGTCGCTTTGACTACTGGAGACAGGCCTTGACTTCAGACAGTCTGTATCTGGGTAGACACTACATTGAAGCAGATCTGAGTGGAGAGGGCGCTCACATTGGAGTTACATATAAAATCATAGGTCGTAAAGGAGAGCAAAAAAACAGCTGTATCTGCCAGAATGAATATTCCTGGTGCATTGGGAGAAACAGTAAAGGCTTTTCTGTATGGCACGCAGGTGTAGAGACGCCCCTAGAGGTCACAGATATAACTACAGTTGGTTTATTCATTGATTTTCATGAAGGCCAACTGTCTTTTTATAAAGTAAATGATCATTTTGTATTGCTGCACACCTTTGAGGCAGATATTTTAGAACCTTTATATGTTGTTGTGTGGCTATCAAAAAAAGACAACAAAGTGCGACTTTATGAATCTAACAAAACATTTTAATTGAAGATAAAAATGATACAGGTTTGTTTACAGATGCAAGCCAAAAAAAAAATGCATCATGTACTTTTCAATTATTGGTATTCATTTTTTACTGTATATACAAATTCTTACAACAAATTATACTCTAAATTGTGCTGTATTTCAATTAGATACATTTTTCAAAAATAAAATTTCTATCGTGGTCTTGGTACTAGGAATTGCCGAATATATCTCCATCTAGTGGGTATTATAGAGTACTTGAAGAATTTTATGTAGCATACTTGTTGAGAGACTAAGAAAAAAAAAGTTTAAACTTTAAATTCTTCATTGCACTTATATGTATACATTGGCATTTTCACATGATTTTATATTGTTTAAATTATATCCGATAATTTAAAACTTCATGCACTGAAGTCAGTTTCCTTCTCATATACTGGATTAACAAAGTGCACCTGGGATTTCTCCATTGAGATTGACATGTTAATTTCTGGATCGTACAGACTGGGCAGTTCAGGTAGCACTGTAGGCTTGTCAAACATGGGATTATCAAAGCCCAGGTCTAAAATGTCCAAAAAAGTAATTGCACCTCAGATGTGGTCTGAAGTGAACCGGCCCACCGGGCATTTGCCCGGTAATACAGATTACCAGTCCGAGTCTGAGGACATATCTGTCTGTAAATTCGATTAAATCGACATAATATACAGTCTAACATATAAATCGGTTGGGCCCAACTCCATATATAAATCCAAATATAGCCGCAAGTGGCTCCTTATTTATGGCACATGATACAAAGGCAGCGTACTGTATAGTAAATGCCAAATAATGGTCAAAGGTCAATTTTAAGATCAGTATTTTTTACGATATTTATTCACATTATAAAGGAGGCCTCAAATACCCCCAAAATGACATTAACTCATTTTTGACCAAACATGATGTTACGGTGTTCTGCCTTTGCTGGGCAGAATGGCTGATGTAGTAAGCGTTGCATCGCCACTAGGAGGCGGTGAACGCAACTCAAAATCACCTTTGTGCTCAGCTTCACCATGTTCCTGATCATCCTGAATGAAGCGCTGCCCGGGGACAGCCAAGGCAGTCCATTTATCAATATGGAATTTCTATTGGTCCATTTATAAGTAATGTTATTTGCTGAATACAACATACTCAAATTTAAATGAATTAATAATGAAATGACTGTGCAACATTTAAACCCAACCATAAATTTGTAATATGCAGCACAATACACATTGGTTTTGAAAAAAATGGTTTTGAGCATAGCTTACTTTATTGGAGTGTGTTATGTCATGGTCAATCACATTTGTATGATCACCCATTTTGACTTCTGGGAGTAAAGAAGCTGTAACTTCCACTATCTGTGTGTGCGTGTGTGGGTCTGAGAATATTTTTGACTAGATCAAGGAAGTGATATGGAGTGAGGAAAAAAGCTAAACACTAAAGTGTGAGTATATTTATGTGACCATCCATATTTACCAATTTTAGATTTTCATGGCTTCATTTCTTGTTATAGAATAATCTTGATGTTGCTGCTGAATTGAGCAGGAAATAAAATACAGTTGCATCTTGTTATTGTCTGATGGATAGTGTGTTGCTACCACTTAGTGGAAAGATGTTGTACTGCTCTTACTGCATGTGATCAGTGGACTCAAGGCTGAAAACATCAATCAGTAACAGTGTTTTCAATATTTGTATTATTATAATAATGCTTAACGTAAATATTATATTATACGTTTAAACTTTTATCAACAACATTGCACAAACTAAACTAAACAACTAAGTTCTAAAAATATGCAAATAAACTCGAGTATTGAGTTGTTTTTGGTTTGGCATATTTACGATTAACAGATGGGGTCCTAAAATAAAACACTCATGCAAAGAGCACAGTTTGTGTAGAGCAATTACATCTCACTTCTACCAAGTAGCCTCCTTAAATCCCCCAAAAGCCAGCAATATATTCAGTTTACAGAGCCCATGGCAAAGAATACAATCTGACTGTACCAAATTTCATCTTAAGGTTCATGTGTTGCCTTTAGATAAAACAATATGTTGATTACATGTCACACCACACTAAACAACAATTACATTACTCTACATACCTGTTTAAAGAGCTGAGCTCCCAGGTAGCCTTTAGCAATATTTTTCAGGTCCGATCTCCCACCAGCTTTACACCTCAGGTAGCCATACAGATCGACCCACTTTAACACCATGACTGCCCAATGAGGTTCATTTGGTCTTCCGATAATTTATGCTATTATCTTATTGTTTCCGACCAAGAGTTTGTTTTCATACCTACCTAACAGTTTTAAAGCAGGGAAGGCATGCACACGAGCAACAAAACACAAAGCAGAACAGGAGCAACTCAAATCAGCCATTTCTGACCACTATAAAAGAGAGAACCACATTATGGACTGGAGCAAACATCATTGAGACAGAGGACAACAAACATCGTCACTGGATTAAAGAGGCAATCAAAATATGGAAATGAACCCATGGGACTATAAACTGGAACGAGGGGGCTTTATTGCTTTCACATACCTGGGGTACAGTCCTGAAGTCACTTCAGATGGCGCTGTCATCCTGGATCCTCTGGTAGAATGACAGCACCAAAACCTGTATAAATCAGCTGACCAGATACATCACAGGAACATCACTTGACCACTCTGAGGAAGACCGCTAGTCGAAACTCTCAGGTATGAAGACAAACTCTTGGTCTGAAAAAAATAAATAAAAATAACACAGGCCCATGACTGCCACGGCCTACAGGGTGAAAACAGATGAAATAGGTCAAATACAGCATTAGTACTGACCAGCCACTCAATTTAAAGAGAGATGATAGAGCTAAAGAAAAACGGTATCCAGAAGACAGGACACACAGTCAGACCAAGCCAAAAAAAAGAGCATCAGTCTATCTTATTATAGTGACAATATTATGTGGCCAGACCTCTTTGTCAAAGACTGATCTCATCAGATCTCAGAAACTAAGTAAGGCTGCCCACATTGCCTAGTAAGAAAGTGGAGTGTGTGTGTGTATGATGATCAAACGGGCTAATGCCAGAGATTGGCAGCCTTCCTTTTCTAAGTCTGCCTCAGGGCAGCTGTGGCGACAGTTTTAGCTTACAAGTGTGGAGTGAATGAATAATGCATTGTAAAGAGCTTTGGGCGTCATGAATGGTGCTATATAAATGCAATGATTAATTAATTAATAATTAATACATGATTCTGTGTAACCCCTCAGTGCCCAGGAGGTTATAGTAAGTCTTTAGTAAGTAAGTCTTTATTTATATAGCGCTTTTCACAGACATTTTTTTTGTCACAAAGATGCTTTACAGAGCATTATTCAGCATTATTCATTCACTCTATACCTGGTGATGGTAAGCTACTATTGTAGCCACAGCTGCCCTGGGGCAGACTGACAGAAGCGCGGCTGCCATACCAATCGGCGCCATCAGTCCCTCCGACCACCACCATCACTCACGCACACACACCACTTTCATACTAGGCAATGTGTGTGAAGTGCCTTGCCTAAGCCTTGATTGAATTGATTGTATTTAACTGACCTTGACTATCAACTGTTCTGGAGACCTGTGTAGCATGTCTGGGTTATAGAAAATAAGGCTTCAGGATTTATTCAACTGGACCAATTTATTAGAGTGAGTATGTTTTACCTCTTTAATCCGAAGGTCTTCAGTCTAGTTCCCTCCCTTTTAAAAAGGTAAACCAGTTTCTAAAAGAACTGGGTCAGAACTGATGAAGCATCTTCCTTCTGGAACTGTTTAAATTTAGTCCAGTTGACTGAATGATCTGATTTTGCTTTACCAAACCACCAGGCCATAGTGGGGTTGCAGTCGCTCGGTGGTTATAGCTCTTGTCTATAACAGAACATGCTTTTGCAATAACACAATTCATGATATTGTCAAACAAATAGATCTACTATAACCAAATAAGCCACATTGTTGTGATTTTTTTATTAGCCACTAGTTAGAATTCACCATGATGAGTTCTACTTTTAAAAGGGTTCCTCATGATATGTTTATTATCTTACACAATGATCTTCAAACATGACATCTGTTGCTATGGATGTGTAATATTTAGTAGCATAAAAGGACACTTAAAAATAATAAACAAAAATATCAAGGGACACTGTGATTTGAAGTTCAGCTCTTTTTTAATACGATGTACATGAAAAAATATATTATATACAGATCACATCAAATGCTGAAAACACTTCTAAACAGAATAGCAAACTATAATACAATATTTTACAACATAGCTTTATGGTATATATTTCATTGACCGAACATGCACATACGCACATGTCTTTCACTTTTGCAGCTTTATGAACGTAGAAGCACTTCAAACAAACTCGCAACTGAATGCATTCTGTAAAAGATGCCAAAAGGAAGTCCAATATTAACTACAGCTGCCCACATGTTGAAATTGTAGAAACTGACTTCAGTGCCATGGTTAAAGTGGGGACGCGCACCAAAGGCAAGCATGATCCATAGCTGCAAAAAATAAACACTTTTAAGAATACTGTTTGTGAAATATGTTAATAGTAAGATGTGTAAAATGGTACTTACAATGATGTTGCCCAGAAGCAAAAAGGCACAGACTTCCTTCACAATTCTTCTCTTCCATGACATTTTGTGCTTGTGCTCAGGGGTGTGTTCATGCAGGACAATTTCAAATGACATCTTTCGGTTCAAATCTGACCCTGCTGATTCATTTGCGCTCTCTTCTCTTGCGCTGTTTTTCTCTTTTAGATATGGGTTTGTGAAAATTCTAACAGAATGGATCTCAAGGTGTGGCTCCCGGTGCAGTCCTTCGATTATAAAGAAGTTTTGGAGGCTGAGTTGGATAATCATAATTATTGCCCAAGCCAGATTGAGTTTGTTCAGGTGACCACTTGCCCCTGTGGCTACCATTGCTACAATGCTGAAGTAACTAATGATTAACTGACCTAGTGATGCACCAACTAGCAGCCCAACATCTAGACTTCGTGTTGGGTTCTTCTCTGATACATGGTCCTTATGGTGCAGTTTAAAAATGACACAACCTAGACCAGTTGCAAGGGACATCAACGTAACTATTACTATGTTCATTACATAGTGGGTCATTAGTGCATGGTCATTCTTTGAATCATCAGCATCACATGTGGCTAGGCCTGCAGCGATCAACAGTACCCCTGCAATTGGGCCAAAAATAACTTCTTTGAAACGGAATTTGAAATGGTGGTGGCTATGCTCATCTGCTACTCGTCCAACATTTTTCCACATAATATAGGCCATAGCTGAAGCGAAGAGGCTGTACTCAATGTTAAAAGGGTATAGGTAGTAGTACTTAAAGACACTGCAAGATGTGTAGCTGCATGTGCACGTTCCATTACCGTAGCTCGCTGTTGAAAAAGAGTAAGAAAGTTGTTACAATCATTTCAAAATGTGTATTGTATTGTATGTGTTCTGATTGAATACCTTTGGAAATGTAAGAACTTTGGCCACTATATTTGGTTTTGTTGACTGCATAGTCAGGAAATGATGTTTGATGAAGAGATTCCTCTGTAACTAATGCCATCCACATGACTAGGTTTGTGGAAAGCGTAATCATTATTCCACAACTGAAACAAAAATTTGAAAAAAACCCCAAACAAACATAAACCAAATATAGCAATCATAATCTTATTGTAATGTTTACATCACATGAAACATTTATTAACTGGATTGAGAAAAAAATATGATGAACACAATATTTGCTTTTATTACAGGATAAGACCTACCGTGATACGTTTTTCTGGACCTGCACACAGTCTTTGGCATGGAACCACATGAAGTAAGTCTGAAACAAACATCACGATGTCAACTTCATGCACATATTGGCTGTATGCATTTAATGGTTACTCAGCATATTACATCATTTTACCTGTGTGGTTATAAACGCAATTTGGACTACAGGGAAAGTGACTTTAATTGCAGAATCACAGTGGAGGTACCCCACGTAGTTCGCAATCTTGAAAATATTCATGATGAAACTTAGGATGCCAAAAAAGATCAGACCACCTTCAACAAAAAGCATTTGTGGCTAAGACAAAAATCTTTACATCTGTAGATATATTAAAGTATTTAATTTATTTACCTCTGAGCCAGATTGGTCCTGCATGAGAGTCCTGGTACATAATTGCATGTTCCTGCTTGGCTGTATAGACGGAATAGTAAATCATCCATGCGGTGGTGAGGATGAGGAGTACAATGAGATAAATCTGCAGGTGAGTCGTGCTGATTTTGATGTCCTTGTCGGCACTGCCACTGACCAAAGCACAGCCCAAAAGCAGGACATTCACACAGATAATTCCAGACCCCATCCAGCCCCAGTAATGACTCCGTTCTTTGTGTGCGACCACAGCAGAGGAGTCAAAGAATTCCGGTTCACAGGTGCTCTCTGCCTGTTCTGAGACCCCCACAGTGTTGGGCAGAAGGGCCTCCTCTGCCTCCTTGTCTTTCTCCATCATTCTGCACTTTTCACAAGGATCACCCTCCAGCAGGCATTTGCACCGATAACCTGTTTTCAGACACATGACCTCTGCTGCTCTTTCAGCCTAGTCTCAAATGAGTTATCTCTAGCCACGTTTGCTTATATACTACTAGAGGTTTCTACAGGTTTAACGGCTACACCCACTCAGTTACCTGCTCCAAAGAAAGATTTCACCCAAGTGAAACCTTTCTATGAAAATAATTTGCAAAAAAAATGTCAGCCTGCCACCATACCAGATTCAAAAACAAAACAAACATTTAACAAACTTGACTCCTTATTTTGCCACCCTCATGCTCAAATCTGTTTATTAGACAAACATGTGTGTGCACCTGAACCCAAAGACTTGATTCTAAGAAGATATCACTGATTAAAGGATGACACTGAATCCTACCTGATCCTTGTCTTTGGGCCTTTTATAAACCTTTCAAAAAAGGTAGTTGACTTTAGGGGGTCATAAATGTCAATAAATCTATTAACCACAGAACTGTTTTATAATGACACTCACTGCCTTTTGAACAAAGAATAAATGTTCAAACACTGTTTTTATGGAGACAATTTTCCTTTCAATAAAAAAATAAATAAAAAAATGCATTGGTTCCATTTTTATGCCACCGTACACAGTTAGGAATGGTTTACCTGAGTTTTCCTCAGGTGCTTTAAAATATATTCTTTTCTGTTACTATAAGCTTCTATTTCCCAGTGAAAAGATGTTCCTCTTTCCCTTATTTGTAGAAAATTCCTGTGGTGCTCTTCATAAATTTATTTGGAGATAAGTTTATGGACAATGTCTGATACCTTGGTCACATATTCTGCTTATATAATGCTGTTATCAAACTATAGCCTACCACACATACATGGGAACATACCCAAATCGCTATAAAGGTTGACAGAGACACATCCTATGAAAACTTAACAACGCAATACATTAATAATACATCTACACAGTGGCTCCACAACCGTCACAATAATTATTAAAGATTTTGTATCCTCTGGTTTTAAGTCTCAACTTAGGCCCTCAGACGTGAGAGCGCATATGGGTGTGCAAATTTGGATGAGATCTGAACTAAAAAATCTTGAAATCAACCCTAAAACAAACTGGAAGCCAGCCTCATGTTTTTTTTTTTGGTTCCAGTCGTGCAGCAGAACTTTGGACCAACTGTAAGCGAGAAAGTTGGCTAATGCCAGAGTGTATTATGGTAATCTAAACGAGAGGAGATAAAATGTGTGACCTGTTCAAACCAAATATCATTCAAATGATACAAATATGGAATAGCAGTTTCTAGACAGGTCATTCATTGTGGATTTCATGTGGACAGACACTTTTGAAAACATCAGTATTTAAAATAAGCTAAGCTTGGCATGGTGTAATGACCTCACCTGTGGCTAAAATAAGGCAAGGCAAGGCAAGGCAAGTTTATTTGTATAGCACAAAGTAATTCAAAGTGCTTTACAGAATAAGAAATACATTAAAATCATAATAAAAACAAATCAAAACATAAATAATCATGAAGATTAAAATTAAAAAAGAGAGACATAAATTGGAGAGAAGAGTGCGGAATGAAAACCTTTCAGTTATATGCACAGTCAAACAGAAATGAGCCTGGATATAACAGCGTCACAGAAGAGGCCTGTCTCACATGTTCAGGAAGACTGTTCCAGGTTTTAGCTGCATGAACCTGAAACGCTGACTCCCCTTGTTTAGTCCTGACTCTGGGCACCAGCAGGAGGTCGGTCCCTGAGGTCCTCAGAGTGCGAGATGGTTCATATGACACTAACATGTCACAGATGTACTTTGGTGCTCGGCCATGGAGAGACTTGTACACAAGCAGAGCTGCTTTAAAGTCTATTCTCTGAGGCACAGGAAGCCAGTGCAGAGACCTGAGCACAGGACTTATGTGCTCGTACTTCCTAGTTCGAGTAAGGACCCGAGCTGCAGCGTTCTGGATGTTCTGCAGCGTCTCACAGCTCGTTTGGAGAGACCAGTGAGCAGACCATTACAGTAGTCTAACCTACTGGAGACAAACGCATGGATAAGTTTCTCCAAGTCTGCTTTAGACAGTAAACCTTTGATTTTTGCGATGTAAATGGTAAAAGGCTGCAGATGATATTGATTTGATGTGGCTGTTAAAGTTCAAGTCTGAGTCCATTATCACCCCTAGATTTCTTGCCTGTTTGAAGGTTTTAGAGAGAGAGACTGGAGGTGACTGCTGACACTGTCACTTTGTTTCTGTGGACCAAACACTATGACTTCAGTCTTGTCAGAGTTTAGCTGAGTTGTTGTATAAGTTATACTTTTTAGACTCAAGCTTTTAAGGCTTGTGTGAAACATGATCCAGGTGTAATGCAATGTAGTGGTGCTGCTCGTATTACAGACAGCGACAGCAGTACATTCAATAAGGTAACCCTGAAGTCGTGGACTGTCAGCCAAGGGTTAAAGCTGTCCAAATGTATATATAGACTACTGTTATGGCATATTTCTAGCCTCCCCTTGTATCAAGGCAGACTTCTTTGTTAAGTGCAGTTGGTTTGCTTTCCAGTTATTATAATGGCATTTTGAGAAGTTGGTTTGAATAGGCGGGTGAATAGGAGGTGGTTGGCAAGCTCCTTGGTGGCAAGGCTCCGGGGCTGGATGAGATCTGTCCTGAGTATCTTAAGTCTCTTGATGTTGTGGGGCTGTCTTGGCTGACACGCCTCTTCAACATCTCGTGGCAGTCGGGGACAATACCTCTGGACTGGCAAACCGGGGTGGTGGTCCCTCTGTATAAAAAGGGGGGACCAGAGGGTGTGTACAGGGGGAATCACACTTCTCAGCCTCCCTGTTAAGGTCTATGCCAGGGTACTGGAGAGGAGAATCTGGCTGATAGTCGAACCTCAGATCTGGGAGGAGCAGAGTGGTTTTCATCCTGGCCGTGGAACACTGGAGCAGCTCTACACTCTCCATCGGGTGCTCAAGGGTTCATGGGAGTTTGCCCAACCAGTCCACATGTGCTTTGTGGATCTGGAGAAGGCATTCGACCGTGTCCCTCATGGTGTCCTGTGGGGGGTGCTCTGGGAGTATGGGGTCCAGGGCCCTTTGCTGAGGGCTGTCTGGTCCCTGTATGACCGGAGCAGGAGCTGTGTTCGCATTGCCGGCAGTAAGTCAGACCTGTTCCCGGTGCATGTTGGACTCAGCCAGGGCTGCACTTTGTCACCGGTTCTGTTCATTGTATTTATGGACAGAATTTCTAGGTGCAGTCAGGGACCGGAGGGGGTCCAGCTTGGGGACCACAGGATTTCATCTCTGCTGTTTGCAGATGATGTTGTCCTGTTGGCTTCATTGAACCAGGACCTACAATGTGCACTGGGGCGGTTTGCAGCCGAGTGTGAAGCGGCTGGGATGAGGATCAGCTCTCCTAAGTCCGAGGCCATGGTTCTCGACTGGAAGAAGGTGTCTTGCCCTCTCCGGGTGGGTGGAAAGTCCCTGCCTCAAGTGGAGGAGTTCAAGTATCTCTTGTTCACGAGTGAGGGGAGGACGGAACGTGAGATTGACAGGCAAATTGGTGCAGTGTCTGCAGTGATGCGGTCGCTGTATCAGACCGTTGTGGTGAAGAGGGAGTTGAGCCGAAAGGTGAAGCTCTCGATTTACCGGTCAGTCTTCATTCCTGCTCTCACCTATGGTCATAAGCTCTGGGTAATGACCGAAAGGACGAGATCGCGAATGCAAGCGCTTGAAATGAGTTTCCTCCACAGGGTGACTGGGCACTCCCTTAGGGATAGGGTGAGGAGCTCAGTCACGTGGGAGGAGCTCGGAGTAGAGCCGTTGCTCCTCCACGTCGAGAGAAGCCAGTTGAGGTGGCTCGACCATCTGTTCCAGATGCCTCTTGGATGCCTCCCTCAGGAGGTGTTCCGGGCATGTTCCACCAGAAGGAGGCCCCGGGGAAGACCCAGGACACGCTGGAGGGACTTTGTCTCTCGGCTGGCCTGGGAACACCTCGGGGTCCCCCCGGAGAAGCTGGAGGATGTGTCTGGGGTAAGGAAGTCTGGGAGTCCCTGCTTAGACTGCTGCCCCCACGACCCGGCCCCTCATAAGCGTAAGAAAATGGCTGGATGATTTGAATAGGCCTACTTGTATACTTCTGTTATTACATTATGACTTGCCGGTGCTCAGTTACAGAAAGAAATATTCATATTCATCATTGAAAACATGATTATTTGACCCAGTTACCTAAAAATAAAGTTATTAACATATATCTGTAATGTTTTGTGTGTTTTAAAAAAATATTGTAAATAAAAATTTATAATAAAATTTAAATTCAGGGAGTAGAATGAGTGGCCATTTTATTGAAGGTCCTCTTGTGCTTGTTTCCATGTCACTGCTCTACATGGAATGTTCCTTAATATGGCATTAAAATGATCCATATGGACCTACCTTACTATGAGTAGTGTAGCCTCTTCATGGACTTGATCTATAACTTTGCCTGGTGGCATCACCTGCTTAGTTCCATGAAGATGTAAATTTAACGCCATACTGTGGAATATTCCAGGCAGAGTAATAACATCTCCATTGAGACATGCAGGTTGGCAGAAAAGTTACATAGTTTATCTTTATACACCTTAATGTTTTTTTCTATTTCTTCATAGAGGAAACCCAGACAAGTGTGACATATGGGGGAACACACCGCTCCACCTCGCAGCAGCCAATGGTCATCTAAACTGTTTGTTTTTCCTGGTGTCTTTCGGTGCCAACATCTGGTGCCTGGACAATGATTACCACACACCGCTGGACATGGCCGCCACAAAGAACCACATGGACTGTGTCAGATATCTGGATTCTATAGCAGCCAAACAGACAGGCTTCAACCATAAGCTATTGTGTTATATATTTTATGATGTGGAATGTCAATGTTTGTGGAAACCAGTCTTTGTACTGATCTATCTTCCTCATCATGTTACCTTGTACGTGTGCTTCCTGCTAGGCTACTCTCCATGCCACTAATCGAGGCAAGACAAAGATCCAGAAAAAGCTGGAGAAGAGGAAACAGGGAGATGGTACCTTTAAAATTTATGAGGATGGACGGAAGAGTGTACGCTCACTGTCTGGACTTCAGCTGGGCAACGACGTGATGTTTGTCAAACAGGGGACCTACGTGAACCCCAAAGACCGTGGGCGCCGTAATGTTCGTGACATGTTCCCCAGAGACAATGACGATGCTATCTCACGTGCCATGAGTGAGCCAGACCTCCATGGACCGGATGTAGACTATTCTGAGATAAGCACTGATTCAGGGCATGATTCTCTTTTTAACAGGCCAGGGCTGGGGACCATGGTCTTCAGAAGAAACTATGTGAGTGGGGGCATGTTTGACCTTGGACGGAGGGATGATATTAGCGTGGCACAGTCTAGTAATACTGTTCGGTTGCGTAGTAGACTCCAGCCTTATACCAGTATGGATGAAGACAGCATAGGAAGTGCCCGGAGCCTTCAGGAGAGGAATATAGAGGAGCTTCCCTGGGACGAGGTGGAATTAGGACTGGACGATGATGATGAACCAGACTCCAGTCCTTTGGAGGTGTTTTTGGCCACTCAGAGCATGAGCGAGTTCTTCTCCATCTTCAAACGGGAGAAGATTGACCTGGAAGCACTGCTGCTGTGCTCAGATAATGACCTTAAAAGTATTCACATACCCCTAGGGCCTCGCAAGAAGATACTGGACGCCTGTAAAAGACGTCTAGAAACCATAGAAGATCCAGACGCTATTGAGGACACTGAACTGTAAGTACTACTGACAGTCCAATGTGACATAGTAACCCTGTTACTGACAAGATGCATTCAGAGAGGAGCGACCATGGCTTTATGAGTCGTAATATCTGTTGCCCTGCAGATAATACAATTAGCTGTTGGTCGTGAGCTCATCCAGTTTAAAGGTCAGTGGAGAATTAAGTGAATGTCTCAAATAACGATAGAAATGACAAGGACTTTTGATAATTCAGTGTAACAATGCACAAAGGCACCTGACAAAGACAACAGAAAAATAAAGACAGTATTTATTTTCAATCAGAGTATATGGGGTTCTACCATTCTGTGGTGGTGCAGCCCATGGAGAAATTCTATAGGGGTTTCCTGTGCTGCATGGCCAAACAAACTGAATGAGAGGTCCCCAACCGCAGTGCCATCCTTTGTTCCTGTACGCCATGGAGCACGGTTAACAGAGAGGTTATTGTGGGCCCTGCATCCCACTAATATGTCGCCCCTGTGGGGTCAATCTGGCCATACCATGTGCCTGCATTGATAGTGCCAGATCATTTTCTGTATAGATTTGTTTTGTAATGTCTTTAGTACTTCTCACAGTATCATTATTATGTGCATGTTTACATTAAGCCATTATTTGTCTGATAAATGTAACATTAAAACTTCTGCACATAACACCAAATTATGAGATAAAGTGGCAGAGCTTGAACCCAGTGTTTTTTAGACTGTTTATTTACCGCCTTAAATAACAAAATGTAGTAGGTCTGAAAATGCACAACTTAACAGTTTTAATGTGAAAATGCACAAAACAAATTATTTAGTTTCAACATATTCTTGCCTCAAGTTTATGGAATCTTTGCATATCTACCATTTCCATTTCATGATATTATTGCATAACTTGAAAACTTTTTCTTAGTTTAGTTTAATATGAAAAAAAAAAAATGTGATAGTGAATTTCGGATCTCAAACAAACAAAACATAAACATGTGCAGTTAATGGTACAATTAGAGCACATCAGGGTGAAAAAATGCATAGCACACTCGGTTGGCCGATGTCCAAATACTTTTTTATTAACAAAATAACGTTTCGGCACTACTACGAAAGCCTTCATCAGATATTTTTCTTGTCTTGGACCACAGCACACAAAATGGTTGTCAGCCCAGGTGCCCATATACCCCTTCAATGAATGGGAGGTCCCAAAGTGAGGTCACCCAGTGAGTTCAGCCCATTCTACAACAAGAAACAACAGTTTACATAAAAAACATTTTATAAAATACAGAAATAGTTTCAGTCTATCACAAAAAACATCTTAAATCAAACTCCACATTCAGTCCGTGAGGAGTAAGAGTTTTAAGATGGTGAATCCAGAAGTGCTCTCTTTTTGACAAGAGCATCTCTAGATTACCACCTCTAGGGGGCAGTTCCACATGTTCAATGCCAATGTATCTTAAGGAAGAGATAGGATGATTAAAATCAACAAAATGAGCCGCCACAGGATAGTTCATGTTTTTACATCTGATTGTACTCCTATGCTCTGCAATCTGTGTTTTTAAAGCCCTGCTTGTTTTACCCACATAAGCTTTACCACAGGGGCAGGTGATCATATAAATTACAGACTTGGTATTACAGGATATAATTCCTTTGATCATTATTTCTTTTCCAGTTTGAGGGTGCTTAAAACTGTTGCAGCGATATGTGTAGTTACACTGACTGCACCCACCACAGCGACCATTTCCATCAGGGATAGGAGTCAGTATAGTTTGGTATGATGTGGTCTGATTAGGAGGAAGGTAGGAGTGCACAAGTCTATCTCCAAGGTTTCTTCCTCTTTTATACACCACTAGGGGGGTGCTCTTTGAAAGCCACACCCAATGAAGGGTCAGTTTGTAGTATATGCCAATGTTTAGTTATGATGTTTTTAAGTTGTTCCGCGGGTTTTGAGTATCCAGTAGAAAATATAATCCGCTTATTGGCATTTTTTGGAGGGTTGACCCTCAGAAAATCAGATCGAGGTTTTCCTTTAACTTTAGTGGCAGCATCATTTAAAATAGATTTCTTATAACCCCTTTGTTCAAAGTTTGTCATCATATTACTTAAATTTCTTTCAAAGTCATCAGTTCTGTGGCATATTCTTTTAAGCAATAAGCACAATTAGAGCACATATCACTCACTCATTATGACAGATAGTAAAACATTTCTGTTCATTCTAGAATTTCTGGAAAACACATCCTGTTTTGCTCCTTAAAGTGACTCACTGTATTTGCTGTAAACCCTCGTTAAACTTTAACCTTCCGGTATCTGGGAGCATAAAAAACGAACTTTTAGTGCTTTGTGACAAAAAAAATGTGGTATTATTTTTCATAATAACCATGTAGCGTCAATTCAAAAGTTGAAGCTGTATGTGTTTTCTTGACACCAGAATCAGCCAATTGTAAACAAAGAAAACAGCCACACTAGCATCTGTTTCTGCAAACGCGTAAAAGGCACATAGACACCCATGTAAAACAAAACAGCATTTTTAATCTATTAGCCACTCAAACATACATTATGCAATTTCTTATTCTTTGGGTATGTTTGAGAGTAGAGGCTTCAAACTGAAGGCAAAACTAGTAGATAACAGAACTGGATGAAAGATGCACGTTTCTTTTTAATTAATATATAAATAAAATATACAAGACATTACACAAAGATAAATAAATACAAATTATACAAAGAATAAATAATAAAATAGACAGGACAGGGGGAGGTAACGCCAGGGGAGGGGTAGAGTAGCCAAAGATCACACACCAAAATTCATGTTTACAAGTAATAAATTAATTAAATTGATTAAGAATTTCCAGGGTTTTAACAGCTTTGGAAGGTTTTCTTATAATACTGCATTTCAGAAAGGAAAACGGGAAAGGTGGGTTTACGATTAATGAATTTACTTATATGGATATGAAAATTTAAGATGATATAATAATGTTTACTTCTCAAGTGATGCATTAAAAAACAACAACAACAACAACAAAAACTGCATGTCTTTAAAAGAAAAGGTAAAATGGGACATAGAGGTTGCATACAGATCTGACAAATTCCTTCCAAAAAAAAGTCCATATAGATGAGAAGTGGTTTTATTCTCTAGTTTGCAGAATTTACAGTTTGTGCCCATTGTCCTTCTGAGGTTATTCTTTACTGGATAGCAACAATGCATAAGTTTATAGCAGATTTCCCTTTATTTATTGGTGATGAAATATTTATGTGGCATGTCCACACATTTTTCCATGGAATATTGTTAACAAAGTTTCTCCTGTGGTGAATCACATACGGGGCTGTAGCTATATTTCTCTGAAACAATTCTCTTATTGTTCTGTTTTGGTTTAGCTGTGTTACAAAACAAGTTCTGCAGTTACAGTATTTAAAACAGATGATGGATACAGTATACCACTGGGTATATCGTCCATTACAACGGCAAAGTGTTTTGAGGTAACAGGATTTGATAAATATTTAGAAATTCAGAGTTCAATAGATGTCCACTGGATTTGAATAACTGTTTTACATACAAAACATTTTTTTCTCAAACCAATTGGGAAAAAAATAAACGTGTGCATATTCTGTGCATAAGGGTAGTAAGTGTCAGTTTATGGCATAACATAAACAATAACTATGCATTTTCACCAATGTTGGTATCAAACATGTTCAAATGTCAGACTGTATCAAACCTCCAATAAGTCATCATGGTGATATTGTTTATTTATTTTTTTATTTTTTGTCAGTTTTTGACATTACAGAAATTAGCTGTTTTCCCTATAAAGGTGGTATTTGGAGGGTTAAAGTTTTGGGAATTATGGGATGGTTGGAATGGTTTTGTAGGACTGGACTTGGTGAATTTCAAACATCAAGAGAAATTCGGATATATAAAGTATAGAGAATTTTATGGGGAATGTTTGGTAGGTGTGCGTAGAATACAAAACACGGTCTACATACAGTAGGTGCAAAATTTTGTGGATTCTGGAAGGTTAATGCTGAATGACATACAACACACTCAAGTCTGCATTTCATTTATCTGATCTTTACCTGCTCGGAGAGGACATTTCCCCCTGGATTTACTGGCACCATGCAGGATGTAAACAGAGGAATTTATTCATTCTTAAGTTCCACTTAAGTCCCCACCCTCCTACCCCACACACACATTACTGTGGTCAGTGTGGCTGTGTGTGAGTGGACTCCGGAAGTATGTTATCTGTGTCCGCCATGCCTCTGACCTGACATTGTTCACAGGAAACTCTCTGAACCTTCCTCAAGTGTCCTTCAGTAGCAAAACACTTCTAATCTTGTTAACTTGCTAAAATTGTCCCTCAAAATGAATAACATTTTTATTGCTTTATTTAATTCCTTTTTAAATTTTTTTTTACAAGTCTTATAAAATCTTTGTATACCCTCAATTAAATGTCATATAAATGTTAACGTGACATTTAATTAAGGGCATACAAAGTTGTTGTTTTTTTGTTTGTTTTTTATGTGTCTATTTTATGGATTTATTTTTTACAATTGCAATAACAAGTAATAATTATGACATACATTCTGTAGAGTCACATTTATTTGTTATGATAATATTGATTAATTCTTTATGGACCAGAGGAGAGGATGTTCACTCCCTTCCCATAATGCACTTGTCACTTCCACTTCTCATCTACTGGATCTACTGTGTCTCCCAGCCCTGTGTTGCTGAATAGAACAGGGAGGGCTGGAAAGTGAATACACTGGATGGGAACAAAGTATCTTAGGTGTGGTTTGAAATTTTCTCCCTTTGTTCATTCAAGTCATTCCTGCATTGACAGTCCAAGCAGGGCCCTCAAATCCTGCCTGACCTGCTTTGTGTCTTACTACAAGTCCCATTTAAAACCTCATCTGGAGAATGTGAAATTTCAAAATCAGCGGTTGCTTACCCAGTTCCAATAAGCAGACTACACAGACTTTGTAGGGCCCTGCAGTGGCAAAAGGCCCCGCCTCCCAAGTCCTGATCATTTGATCAATCATCATGTCTGTCTGTCAATCCACATTTAGTTACAACAAAATGGGGTCCTGCTTTGCTCCTCACCATGAATATCTATCTATCAAACTAGTTTATCCTCAACTATTTAGCTAGAATAAAAAAAAAAAATGCATATGTTGTCCCTCCTGTGCTCGAGAGGGGTGAAAAGGTAAACCCTATGAAAGGAACACGAAGGACAGATGGTCTTGTGCATCATTGGCCTGTAGGATTTATTCTGCATTAACAAATAATAATTTTCATGTTGTCACTTTCAGGTGTTAAAATTATGCATTTATTAATAACAAAAACAAAACTATAATATTATATTCTCTTCTGTACTAAATGTAGCTGTGACAACTGAAAATGGTAGCCAACCTACAATAGCAGCAATTACACTGGTACTGTACTGTCAAATCTACAATTTCTATCTTTGTCATGTATTTCCTTATCCAACCTTTTGTACCTTATCTGAATATTGATACTAATTTTATTTTTTTACCATACAGCTGAAGAGGAGCTAGTGATGCTTCTTGGTCAAGAGGAAGAAGATGTAGAACAAACAGAATAATAGCAACTTTGGAAACTTAAGGGGAGATTATTATACACTCAAAGAAGAGAGCAACCAACCAACCAAGAGAGCAACTGAAATACTGTTTCTTGATAACATGGTAACTGTTATGTGTGGCTCATAATAATCTCTGTAGATCTGTTGTCCCCAACAATTTTGTCCAAAGTGTGTCAAATAAACTGAGTATAATATTGTGTGTACATACATATGTAGCCAGAATTACAATATCTTTTTCCCCCAGACTTTATTGCCCTAACTGCTGTCACGCTACTGTCCATTTGATTATTATTTGAACAATACAGAAATCTGATAATATTTGATAAAAAAAAAAAGACATATCAAATGACAAATGACTGTTTCACTTGTAGCATGTCTCCTTGAATTATAGCTCTTTGTCGATTCAATGCACACTGCTGCCATCAATTTTGATTTATGGATCTGCGTCAGGATCCATAAATCTTGAGGCAGATACCAACTGAACTGTCTAACAAGTCCTACATTCTTGGAAATGGATGGTAGTCTGCAACAGTCTTTTTGTTTAGTCCCTTGAAATCCACACAGACGTAATCTTTGGACTTTCTTCCACACACACAGCTCTGGACGACTCACTGGGTACATTAACTAAAGCAGGAAACAACTGTAAACCCTCTGGTAAGTCTGGTTTGAATGTGGGTTCAAATAAGAACCACCTTGTGGTCTAGACATGACACCTGATCTCACAAACCTGGCCACTGTGAGGTTCTTACCAACTCTGTATCATTTAGCATATAGTCTTTAGTTGGATTCTCACTAATGACAGATCATCTCTGCAGTATGCCTGTACTTTTAACTCTTCAGCTAGTAAATCATTCAAGCAAACACTGCCTGGCTTTTCTAGACTTTCCAAGATGACTGCCTCAGTCATGTTAAAGTGTAACAGAAGACCACTAACGCAGCTCTAATTGAGCACGGGTAACTGAATAGCTATTGATTTTTAACTAACAGTTCAGCCAAACCATTGAAAGGTACATTATTCCCATTAGCTGCTGTCACTCTGAGTGGATCATCTGGCAAAAGGTCTTCTAGAGATAAAATGTCAATGTCTGGTGCATATTTTTGGAGCCATGTATTGGTTACTATTGTCACTTAAATTCTGTCTAATAGCATGTCAGTTTTTACCCCACTGAGATATCAGGTAAGCTACATCTTTTACCAGTCAGTTTGACTACTCTGTTATCCTGTCTTCTCCATGTTTTCACAGGTGACTCTCTTGGTGTTCCTTGACATGGGACACTGGTGGTCCCTCCCCAGTGACTTCTTCACGTTTCCCGATGTCTTACTTTTGAGCACACAGCCAACAGCTGTGTCCCTCTTGTCCACATTTGAAGCAGTGGCTGCAATGATCAAATCCTTCTTTAATGTAGGGTTGACACTTATGAGACTTGGTCTTCAGGTGGATGCACTATTTACTGTGACCCTATGCTTAATTGTCTCCCCAACTCTTCATGAACTGATTTAATCATGACTTCTAAGATGTAATCATCTGTTACACTGCTGTTACTAACCAGTGTTTTAGGTCATTCTCACATATTCATATTTTTCACTTATTCCTTGGTTAAGGGAGTGAAGAAACACACCTTCAACTATTTTTTTTAAATCATATTCAGAACCTGAGCTGTTCTGCTTTTGCTTTAACCCCATTAGATGGTGCATAAACTGCTGTGGGCTTTCACTATCTGAACTGCTTTTATGTTTTAACTGTGTTCTGAGAAATCGCTTAAGCTCAGCTATAGTCAACTCACGTTTGGTCAGAAGCATGCAGTTGAATGTACCTGGTCTGATTATTCTTAACAGAGCACAGATTATCTGGTTTTCAGTGAAGTTTACAGTTTAAGTTTAAACCCTCATCCATCTGTTTTCATAGTCCACCACAGCTTACATCAGAGTCTGAGTTAGATATTTGTCCACTATGAACTTTGAATTCTCTTCATAACAAAGCTGCAACATCTGACAGTTTTACTATGTCATAAACCTGACTACTGATGGGTGATTGACTGTCCATCCTAACTTGCAGAACTGCTGTTCCTACTGGTGATCCAACTATCTCCTCTGCCACAGGCAGAGGTTGCACTTGCACTTCTTCACCAGCTAGACTTGCTCACTGCAGCTCCCTGATGAGGTCGTTGAAGCCTAACAGATGGGACATACCTCTGTCCTATTCAACAACTTTTTATTATTATTCTTGCTGCTGTTGTCGTGTTTTGTATTCTTATTCTTATTCATATTCACAATCTATCACTGTTGTATAAATAAATACATTTTATATATATATATATATATTTATTTATTTATTTATTTATTTATCTACTAATTCTAGTCATTAGGAAATACACAGTAAATAAATATTTGCTAAAATGAGGTAAATTTAAAGTAGCTCTTGGAGGGCAAGTTAAATTATTCCTTTATAGAATATCATTCCACATCAAATTAAGGTATTAAGGAGTATTAAGTTTATCAATAACTGCGAATATTCAGGTCACAATAGACCCATTAAAATTCTGTCATCAGAAAGTTCCCAGTTCTGAGATGGATGCAACTGGAGCCAAAGTGAAACAGACATAATATATTTTCACTGATTAACTAAATAAAAATTTAAAATAAATTTGAATTTTCAAAGTACATGTTAGTTAATTTACTTCTCTTTTAAGAAGGATGGAAAAATGTTCTAACCTCAAAAATGTCTTTGAGTTTCACAAAAAATGAAATATTATAACTGTAGTGGTCTTAACTTTCTGTAAGGATTTGTCCAGTAAAACCTAAAAACTTGGATTTTTCCTTTCTAGGCATTTTATAGAATGTCTGAATTATGAACATTTCCAGTAACATATATAAGCCCATAAATACAGTCTTTCATATAAACACAAACTGAAATTTTGATGATGATGATGAGGTGCTCTTTCTAACTTTTCTGGTGGAGGGTCATCCACTTGCATGACTCCTTGGACATTAAACTTATCTATCTCCATGGAGACAAGCTGGTGATGCCACTTGGTCAAGTTACAAGTCAGATCTGAGTAGAGGCGACACCACTCACAGTAAAAATCCATGTTTTAAGATATTTTGAATTGATAAAAACACCTGTAAAGAAACAACTGATAACACACCATGCAGTGGAAAAGAACAGGGTTAACGTGTGATGTTGTTCTGTCCAGGGGTTTACTTCAACAGTTCTATTTGCAGTAAACATGAATTTTAATAACATCCTAGGAAAATCCATTGTTGAACACCATAATATACGCAGGAAGTCTTATTTTGACCCATAACATGTTGTTACTTTTTTTTGCAGAAGTACTCTGAGTGGAAGAAATTGTCAACAGATGTGTCTCTGCCTTTGTCCATATTAAAAAACATTGAGCATCTCTCCTCTTATGTACAAACTGTAACAGACACCAGCCAACAACTGTGTGATCTGCTTCTCTCAAGTTACAAGGAGAGCATGGACAAGGTGTTCAAAAGTGGTGTGTGGACTTGTACTTCCAAACACTCTCTGGGTATAATGTAAAAATCATTCACATTTTATTAGAACTGTGATAATAATTAGGCCTGGAAATTACAGGGTCCCTCATGATTCAATACAACACATACATACATCACAAAAATTATACAAATATCATGATTTTGCAATATGTAGAATTGATAATTGCACATGATATTATGTGATTTATCACTATTTTTAACCCATTAATGCACCCATTTTTCCCAAAGATGAAATGATGAAATTCATGTACCATTTGTACTGTGGCATGATCAAGCATTATTTATTATTATTATCTATGAAAATGGTCAAAACGTACATGGAAAAGTGAGTTTTATGGTGGGTTAATGACTTGTATTGTGCTATTTTATTGTCCTAATAGCAGGTAGAGGACTTTGGATGCTCCTCAGACTTGTCCTAGTAGGGGTCCTAGAGGATGAAGTACCCTAGATCTTCTACGGCTTTCTCTCTATTGCTCCTATAGGTCTTTCTGAGGTTCCTCAGACTTGTGCCATCTTCTACAGATTTTTCTCTAGCTGTAGGACCTTAAATGTTCTTCAGAATTGTCCCAAAGCAACCTAAATGTCCTTTAAAATTCTCTTTATAGGTTCTGGAGGACTTTGGATGTTCTTCAGACTTGTCAGCAGCCACATGATCTTGGATGTTCTTCAAACATGTCCCTATAGCAGCTATAGGTGACATTTGCTTTTCAACTGAGGGTAATGGAGAAGGGGTGGACATTATCAGTGTTCTCTCCTGACTCCACCAAGTCAGTATGGTGTACTGAACAACCTGAACATCTTTCCCTTACAGTCTCCATCATCCAGCATATCATGAATTTCCCTGAGGGTGGATTTAAACCAATTCAAAAAGCTGATAGATATGTGTGCCCCTGTATATACTGCCCTATACCCATATTATGCTATTTTCTGATCTGTTAAAATGTTTAGAATCCAAAACACACCTAGAGTTTTGTTTTGTTTCATTGACACATGTTTAACACACAAACCCTGCCAATTTAGGCTGAGTTCTACTGTCAAATGGAAAACGCTGTACCACCTTGTAATATCATGGAAGTTCTCTGTTTAACTTCATACACTTTCACTAGAATAATTTTGGATAATTTCAGATACAGGTCACAGGTTTAACTATAGTTGGTTTATACAGTGATTTTCATGAAGACCAACTGTCTTTTTATAAAGTAAATGATCATTTTGAATTGGCAGATATTTTAGAACCTTTGCATGTTGTTGTGTGGCTATCAAAAAAGACAACAAAGTGTGACTAACGACATTTTAATTGAAGATTAAAAAAATATGTACAGGTTTGTTTACAGAAGCAAGCCCATAAAATGAACATGTAATAATCTGATCATTTGGTATTTTTCAATTATTGTTATTTATTTTTAACTAAATATCAAAATTATAACAAATTATACCCTAGACTGTACTGTATTATAATCAAATACATTTTTCACACTATTACATTTTTATTGTGGTCATGACACAAAAAAATTCACATGATTTTATATTGTTTAAATTATATCTGATAATTTAAAACTTTATGCATTGAAGTCAGTTTCCTTCTCATCATAAACTGGATTAACAAAGTGCACCTGGGATTGCCCCATTGAGATTGACATGTTAATTTCTGGAGTGTACAGACTGGGCAGTTCAGGCAGCACTGTAGGCTTGTCAAACATGGGATTATCAAAGCCCAGGTCTAAAGGCCCACCAAGGTCATGGTCACTTCCTCTTCGTAACCAGTTCATGGATGGCATTGGTGGTAGTGAAGGTATATGGACAACCCTTTTATTGACCAAAACAACTAAAGTGGTAATAAGGGTAAGCATGATCAAAACTCCAAATATAACTCCAACTATCATCCCAGCATTTCCAGACTGGCCGCTATTGTTCCCAGAAGAGGCTTGAAATCCAGCCTCAACTATTCCTAAATTAGAACCATGGGAATTGGCATCTTTAACAATTTCTTTAGCTAATGCTTCTGCTTGGAAACCTTTATCTTTATCTACAACTACTATCTGGATTTCTGCCTGTGATCCAAATGGGATGAATTCCATTAGTCTCAAGGGCTTGATGACTTTGGACATGCCTACCTGAACTGATTTGTATTGAGAAAGCGCCAGGAAAAGATGTTGTATTCGTTGCCTATAAGTCTCTAGTTGAAAATTTTGAGCATACTGAATGTTAACAATAGCCCCACAAACTTTACAACAGTGTCCCATGGGAAGTAAGGGCTTTCGACAAGAAGTGGGAGAACAAGTCACTGCACTACAAATCCGTCGATGATTTGCAGAGTTCCCACAGTCACAACCAGTAGGGTCCTCACAAGATGGTGCACCCACAGTGACAGAAGATGAGCCATAAAACTGCAGTTGTCCAGTCTGGGTTTGGAGATACTGGGAAAACTCACTGCCATCTTGGAACTTTTTCCCGAATATGGAAACAGAATTGACTGGTATTTGACCTTGATCGGAGCTGGTGTCCACTCTGAATGAGGAGCTGGCTTTGAAGACGACATGGTCATATTTACAAGGGATGCTCTCCTCGTGCACTGAAAATAGGAAGTTTTTGTTCAGAAGGTCATCTTGAGTCGTAGCTGATTGCCACAAGGTCGGGTCAAACCACTTGAGAGAATCAGGGTTTTTGAATTTGATCGTAGACGATTCACAACCCGGTTCGTTTTCATTGGAGACAAAAAATCCTGCACCAGAGTTGAGAATAAACTCACCAAAAATAGGCAGGCGCAGTTCTTTGACAGCATGGGCAGTCTCCACAAAAACAGACACTTTGCTCTCAGCAGCAAAATCAGCCACAGACTTACCACAAGGGACCACTCCACCATCCCAGTTGGTCCCGTTCTCAAAGTTAGTATCAGGGATCCATTGCTTGTACAAGGCATCTGCTGTACAAATGAGACAAAGGAACAAAAGCATGTCTACTGTGGTCAGCATCTTTGAGGTCTCTGGCAACGTAGGTGAGCTGCAAAAATGGACTTTGTATTATAATCTTGTGACAGACACGAGCAGCCACCTGACCAGGGAAGGTTATGACCAGAGAAAGCAGCTGTTAAAGCAGCAAAATCTAATAAACTACTTACTACTTGGCTATAGTCCATGAGTAATAAAACAAAAGTTGTTCTTAAGGTCGTTTAAATATTGACAATATAAACAACAGAATAGCACTGATTTTAGCCTTTAGTTTTATCCTGATTAGAGGTGTAGCCTACTAACATTTCTGTTGGAGGGTTCACCACCTGCTTGTCTCCTTGGAGATGTTTTTGTTTTGCCTAGAATATTCCACAGCATTGCATTAAACATTTTTATCTCCATAGAGGCAAGCAGGTGCCACCACCAGGCTACAGGTTAGTAGTTACAGGTCAGATCTACAATGTATTTCAATGTACTTTCTTTGCAATATTAAATACAAGATATAAGTTTAAGGCCATAAACATTCAAGAAAAAAGCAGGTGGTGACTCTCCACCAGAAGTTACACAGTGCACTTAGAATATCAATATCCCTATAAAACATCAAATAACTGCAATAATCTTGTATTTTCAACACAATTGCAGCTAGCCCTTCTTGCTAATGCACAGGTGAGGCTAATGAGGTGACTGAATGAACACACAGAGCTTGCTAGCTGTGTTAGCTAACATGGTGGAAATAGTGCAGAGTGAGGTTTAGGAAAGGCTTTATGTGGCAGATGAGAAACAATGCAAAGTGCACCTCAACAGATATTCCAGAGAACATGCAATAATCTCCTTTCCAGGTAAAACCGACATGCTGCTCCTTTCCTCATATGCATTGAGAATGTTTAGCTCTGGCAGGTTGTTTTTGAAAATAATCAGTGCTTCTTTTACAGAAAAATGACAAATCATAACAGAATTGTTGAGGCTCATCCTTCAAATATTGAGACTGCTTCTCACCATGCCCATGTTCAAGAAGAAAGTGCAGTGACCATGGAGTCCACAGTGGAGAGGGCCAAAACTACTGGTGGCAAACTAATTTCAGGAATAATCTTTTTTAACATTTTTTTTCTGGGCTGTGCTATTGTTTGCGGCAGTGCTTTTAAGAATATCACTATCACCCCTGTCCATCGACAAGTGTATCTAATCATACTGTTGCTCCTCACTACGTCATGGATGATCTTTTACATGGTGCACACCTTCCACAAAGATCAACACATGCTTTCAAAAGACATCCACGCAGCCCCAGTGTGGCTCCGGGGTAAGGCCATTCCTTTACTAAGTCATTTTTAAATTTGTCTTGAAGTTTGGGGAAATATTTTAATCTTCCAGCTGGTCTTGTGATGTTTGGGATTCTCAGTCTTCTGATGGATGTCCTCAAAATTTCCAACTATGTGGGCTACATTGATTGTGACAGTGATGCAGCTATTAAAATAGCATCCCCAGTCATCCAAGCATTATTTCTCTTTGTGCAGGTACAGCATGTTGTCTCATTACTGAAACTGTAAAATATACATTATTCTTGTCTAACTCTAAATTGTTGATTAGACTTACTTCTTTTTGACTCATGCCAAAGACTGTGTACTCTCCAACAAAAATATTACTTGGTAAGTTTCTATTGTCTGTATATGTAAGGGTAAAATTATATATATATTTTTTAATTTCTAAAAGTGTTTGTGGAAATAAGATTTATGAGCTATCCTGCTACATGGACATTGTATTTCTGAGACTTTATATATTTAGCAGGGAATATCAACAACTCCACAAATTGCACATGCTTCCATTTACAAATTGTCACAAAGTTGTTGTAATTTCCACTTAAGGTGTGGTCTCACAATCACACTCTCAACCAACCTGGTGGTTTGGATGGAGGCAGTGACGGAAGAATCTCTTCATCAAACTGAGCTCCCGAAATTTTATGAGAATTATTCTGATAGAATGTATAAAGGTGCATAAAGTTTTACATCCTAATCATAACATGGATGTTTTTTGTTTTTTTGTTTTTTGTTTTTTTTAAACATTGACATCATGCATTTCTTTTTTCAGTCTCTTATGGTGACAAAACATGCAGGTGCAACCAGTCTTGCAGCATCTTCAAAGGGGCGTACCACTATCTCTATCCCTTCAACATTGAGTACAGTCTCTTTGCCTCAGCCATGGCTTATGTCATGTGGAAAAACGTTGGCCGTTTGATTGAAGGCCAGAGCCACCACAATTTTAAGTTTCATGCAAAAGAGGTATGTTTAGGACCTATAGCAGGAGTCATTTTGGTTATGGCTGGCCTTGTCACATTTGTGTTTTATGAAGTTGGGACTCAAATGGAAGACAATAAAAAAGACACAGGTTTGCAAATGCACTTCATAACCAATGTAGTGATTGTATGCTTGATGTGTGTGTCCACTGCAGTTGGTCTGATTGTGTACATCTTGGACCGTAGGGAGCATGTATCGGAGAAGAACCCAACTCGCAGTCTAGATGTAGGACTGTTAGTTGGGTCTTCTTTGGGGCACTTTCTCATCAGCTACTTCACTATAGTTGCTGTGGTGTCTACAGGGGTGGCAGACTTTATTAACATACTCAACTTAGCCTGGGCTGTTTTGTTGTTGATCCAAATTGGACTGCAGAATTACTTCATTATTGAGGGATTGCACAGGGAACCGTTTCATATGGTCCAACATTCAGTGATGCCCAACAGTTCTGATGCATTTCAAGAAAGCACAGAGCTAAGTGTTGTGGCAGAAAACCATTGGACCAGTTATCGACACTCCTCCACTGTAGATAAACTAAACTGGAAAAGAAGAGTCCTGAAGGAGGTCTGTCTATTTTTGCTGTTGGCTAATATAATTGTAAGTATTTATAGTATAGGTAGTATTTGTGACAGTGGAGTAATCTTCTGTAATTTAACGGTGTGTTTTATGCACAGCTCTGGATCATGCCTGCCTTTGGTGCTCGCCCTCAGTTTGATCAAACCATTGAAATCATCTTCTACAAATTCACAATGTGGGCCACAATTGTAAATATAGGACTGCCTTTTGGGATATTTTACAGACTGCACTCAGTTGCCAGTCTCTTTGAAGTTTACTTGATCTCTTAATGTTTAAAGGGCACGTGCTTTTGTGTTTGAGAAGTAAAATATGTACTGCAATAAATATTTTTTGTCACGGTTTTGGGTGTTTTATTACGTAGGAAAAAAGCACCTAATACGTGTTTTTAACAAGTATTAAAATATACTTCCCACATAATAGGTCTATTTGATGTTGAGTTGAAATGTGTATAACTGAAGAAGGGTCATGCTGCCATCTAGTGGTGAAAGTGACAACATCATGAGACTGAACTTCTTCCACCGCTTTGAACTCAACTCACTGTAAAAAATAACAAAATGGTGGCATCTGAGGAACTGTTTCATGCTGCTTCATCGTGTACATGTCTGGCCTTTGCCCGACATAATACTTACAGAAAAAAAAAAGTGAGACACAACACAACTAAATGGTTTTCCTCCTACATTCTGATTTACTTTTAATTTCAGTAGATATAGTAGAATTAGTCAGATATGATTGAATATTTGCAGAAGAGGTATGCAGAGTGACATTAAATATACAAAGAAAGCAAAACATTGCACACACAATTTGATGGCAGTCAATAAATATATTTACCATAATTTAAATAAATACAATTAAAACCTTCTGACAAGCATAATTTATACAGATTATCTGCTTAGATAACAATCTGGCGAAATATATATTTCACAAAGTACAAGAGTGCTAATTCACTTAAAGCTTAGCATTTACAATAAATAACAAACACAAAACTCTATGGGAACACTGTCTATAAATAGCATTTTAACAGTTTTCCACATTAATTAGGCTATGTAATGAACAATGACATTCTGAGGTCTCATATATAAAGATAGGACACAGTGGTTATGGATATGTATACTGTTTTGAGAATCTTTACAAAGATCAACAGTCTGAATCAAACCCATTAAAATGTATCTCATTTCAACATTTGTGGAAGTTCCTTTATAACTCAAAATTACAATGTTTGAGAGAAAATGAAAAACACTGGCACTGAAGAGGCTTCATTATTAAGAGGCCTACATCCGCTGTATCTCGAAAAGCCGGACATCTGTATCATACCATATAGGAGGGTCCACATTGCTAGAAAAATAAGTTAACAATTTTAGTCACCATATAGAAATCTGATTCAACACATTTAACTCCTAGATCTTACCGCAAATACACAACTCCCCACATATAGGTGCGAAACCACATAGCAGTGCCAGCATTGGCCTGGTACTTTCTGATGAGGATGGGATGAGGGACTGGCAGCAGGCCCACCAATGTGCCATGCTGCAAAAACTTGAGAATTTCTGATTCATCTGTGAGACCCCTGATGCAGAACAGATACCATTTATTCTACTTAGATGTTACTTGTCTGTGTGTTTGTTTGTTTCTAGTACTAACATTACATAACATTACATACTTGTCTATGCAGATCTTCTCCACCTGAGGGACCAAAACCTGCAGGAGCCTCATGATTGTCTGAAGGGGAAGTTTGCACTTCCAGGAGAGGATCTAAGGCAAAATATTTATCAGTGTTACAGTATATTCTCTATTTATGTTAAAAAATAAACAGATATTACTAACCCATTCTGGTGTGGGAGCCCAATAAGATGCGGAAGACGCACTTGACAAGCGCCTTCTCTCCATTTCAGCTTCAGTATAGAAAACATCCTGCAGTTGCAAAAAAAACAAACAAACAAAAAAAAAAAACAATAATGAGTTATGTTAGGTTATGTTAAACCAGTGTGCTTTATCTATACTGACAGAAGTCTCTACCTCATTGTCTCTGCCAGAGTTGGACTCTGTGTCACTGGTGCCAGTCGCTGCACTTGGGTCGGGCTGAGCAGCATGTGCAGTGTCTGTCTTTGGGACTGAGACCATAGTGCCGTCCTCTGATACCTGAGATTTCTCTGTCAGTTTGTCAATGCCTGTAACAAGCAAAGAAATGCTTAAGATATAATAAACCATAAACAATGAAGTGTTGTGAATAAGATGTTTCTGATACCGGGAATGGCCACCAGGCTAGTTTTCAGAGTGCCAGGTTCTGCTGGCACAGCTGGGTGGGAACCCTCCATTGACACAGTTTCCTGAGAGCTAGTGCGAGAAATAACATCTGGGGTCTTCCTCTTCTTCTGCAGAGCCTTCTGAATGGAGGCAGGATCAGAGGGCAGGTTGGCCAGCTGGTGGAACACATTTCGCTTACGAATAATAGCGTAAACCAAGTTGCAGTTGCCTGAGAATACAGGAACAGACTGTGTTCTGTACTACTCAAACACAATGCTGACAGCTTTAACATGTGTTACACTCACCATCAAACTGATATTGGATAATATTGTTAAAAGCCTCAAGGAGAAAGAATACAAGGTGATGGTTCTGGGCTGCAGAAAATAGGAACCAGTTGGTGGAGAAGGCTTCCAGCAGGTGGAGCAACTTGTTTGCTGCCACCATTGAAAGACTCTTTAGATAGGGAGATACTGTAAATAAAATAAAAACTAAATTTAATCCTGAGGAATTCAAATTGTGAAATATCTGCAAGCTGAAATTACCATTAACAATGATGGTAAGCAGGCAGTCAAACAGAGGTTGAAGACGCTGGTGACCAGTGGTGATGATCTTGTGGAAAACCTACAGAAAAAACAGAATCCTTGAGCACTGTTTAAATGCATCTATGTCATTAATGTGACACAGCAGCCTCACCACTATGAGCAGGTCTGCGTGGGTTCCTGTGAAGACTGGGATGTCCATAGGCACGTTCAGGGAGTAAGGCTTATTCAAGCGCACACCAAAGTTCCTTTCCCCACTCAGAAGCAGTAGTATGAACACACCGATGTGCATTAGACCAACTCGAGCTGCCAAAACAGAACAAACAATATCACAGGAACTGATAATAAATGTGCAGTCAATGCTTGTTTGAGCAAGAGCTTACACTGATCAGCCCTGGCATCATTCAGATAGTACAGTATAGGAACCAGAATATCCAACACATCGCTGCTTTTCAGGACAAAAAACAGGAACTTCTGTTAAAAGAAAAAAATTGAAATTAATGACTAAAACTGTTTAAATTATATGTTCATAATATTATTCTTGTGCACTAACCTTATTAAAGTCACATAGCTTCCAGAAAAGAACAAGCAGTTCTTGATGAAACTGAATTTTCTTGGTGGAGTTAGGTAGATAAGTTTGAGTGAGAGGGTTGGTCAGTAAACGAGCCAAGCCTTTTAACACAAAGTCAAAGTCCTGCCAAAGTACACAATAACGAATTGTTGCCTAGTAAATGTTCTTTTAAATAGTGAAAATACTTATTTTCTTCTGTCAATCAGGTCATACCTCCTCTCTATGGATCCTCGACAAATAATTTACAAAAAGATTTTCAGGACCTGCAAACTGTATAAAACCAAATATTACAATACATTTAAGCAACTTGCACATACAATACTATGCCACAGGCTGTGTACCTCATGTTCTTCTATGCTGGATGGGGAAACTGGCCTGTGGGGGGGCCCTCCGTCATGCTCCAAAGTGACTATGAGGATTTGCACTGCCTGTTCCACCAGCTGCTCCCGGTAGTCTGAGAAGAGGAGGTGATTGTACGGAATACCAAATCCAACTGGATCATAGGCACTGACTACATTGATCAGAGAAGTAAACAGGGGTAGAGCATGCCTGTAAGTAAAAATATTATATTAGTAAAATGCATACTTTAAAAATATAATAACATATTTTTAACATTTCCTGTCTGTTCTTTACCGGTTTTCAGTGGAACAGAAGAATGTCACCCAAGGATTGAGGATGCTGTTGTCTGATGAAGGCGGAAGGTACATCGCCTCAGAAAAACAGGTCAGTAACAATCTTAGCAGCTCTGTCCTGATAACAAAAACATGTTAATCTATTATAGTTTTTTTTTTTTTATTATTAAGTTAAAAATCTTGTTTACCTGTTCAGGTCATGGATGTAGTTGAGAGGTGGTGACTGAGCAAAGCCTACTCCTGCCTCCCAGATGTATTCACAACTGTCTATGGTCTGCATATTCTCCACAGAGTCCTTGAAGTAAAAGCCAAAGTATTAAAACAATTTACCTGATGTTAAATACTAACCAGAAATGTTATACTCAATTTAAGAAAATGCATGAAATGAACATGTCTTATTTGAATACATTCTTTCAGGATGAATCATGACTCATAAGCGCCCATTCTGTAGTGATGGTTGAGTGAGGATGTGCAGCCTAAAATGTATTAATTTTATCATGAACAACATTCTGGGATGAGTGCTGAGGCAATGAAAACCGCACCAGCATCATTTCTTGAGCTTTTTTTTCCTGGTTTAAACTATCTTCTATCTTAATCAGTAATCTTCTCTTCTTTGTTTGCTGATTGAGTAATTGATTGAACAGGTGCATGCTCATGAAGACACAAGGAAGAAGGAAACAGCAGATAATTTTTGTCAAGCCATTGTGTATAAACAGTTATGACACTGAGTACTCACTGGGCCCCTTTTGTGGCTGTGGACCGTGAAATCAGGGCAGAAGAGTAGGTCTGCAATAGCAAGAAGCAGTGACTCAGCGAGTGGTCGAGCCCCATCATCTTCATCTAAGTCTTCTGCCTGGAAAGAAAAATGTGTACATTTGTCTTCCCACATTACTGCAAACAAAAGATGCATGTGTCTGTTATTGTATTTTTGTATTCCCAATGCTCACCCCAGCTCTCCCAGCACCAGGCACTGTTGACCAGAAGAAGCCTCTCCAGTCTTGGTCCTCAAAGATGTAGGGAAGGATGCGGCTCAAGATCCGAGTGCAGTTTAGGACCACCTGCTTGTCCCTCTCTGTGGGACACCCAGACTCGGCCCCCTGCACCAGCTTCTCCACAGCCTGTAATCAACGTGCATTGCATTGGTTAAGTATGCAGTGGGTAAACACAACAGCATAATTGTCAGAATAATTTTATTGTCCCATATTTGCTAAATACTTGTGTGATATTCTATGCCTATGAGTTAACCATTTATGTAACTACAATTCTTTGATTTATAATGTACCAATCACTTGTATGAAAATGAATAACCTCTTTGTGTTTGACAACTGTGTGCAATGACCTATCGCTCTTGTGAACCTCAAGATGATTCCTCACATGAAGCCAATTCCCACTGTCACACATGCAAGAGTTATGATGGTGTCTGACCATACCTAAGGCACCTCCTGTTTGTACTATGCATAGCTTCATCAGTTTCTTATTATGTCTTTGCTGTTTCCCCTTCCCCTTGAGAATTATCGTTCTGTAACTAGGGCCTCCTAATGAAATAAAAAGAGGAGGGCGGCCTTGAGGCATCAGAACGTGTGGAGACTGTTGGTTTTGATGCCCACTCTCTGCCCGTTCTCCTCGCGAGTAAAACTTAATTAATCTCTTGTCTTTCTTCTTGTTTACAATGTTTAGGCAGACCTAACAATAATTATAATCAGTGTAAGTAAGCAAATGATAAAATGGCACAATGATGGATTGGTGAGTAGCTCTAACTAATTAGACTACAAGAAGGCAGAATATCAGTTTCCTACTAAAGGAAACATTGGGCTGGTGGACAGGAAGCCAAGAGAAGAAAGAAGGGAAGCTGACTCATTATTCATGTGTGAGTTCAAAACACTGCCATGCTGATAGACAGGTGCTTGTTTGCAATGTTAAGAAGAAAAAAAAAAGTAAAAGTCTTGCAGATAATCATTCACCTCATACTTAAGAACCAAATTAAGCTCTGTCATATATTTGTACCTTGTAGCAAAGAGTGGCTAAATTAGATGGGGACTCCTCTCGCACAGCTCTTATCTCAGCAGCTGGCACCAGTGCAAACACATCCTGCACTGTGGTGTTGCTGTCTGCCCAGAACTGGTCCCAAAAGGCATCGTCTGTGGCTTCCACTGGCTGCAAAACATAGTAAAATCAACAGTAAAATACTTAAAATTCCATTTGGTATGAACATAGGGCTATGAATTATGTGAAACGTGGGGTTTGCTGTGGGGTGAGTGTAAACAACCCTATTGTATTACAGTGAGTGGCAGGCATGTTGTGGCCCATCTGGACACCTGCCACATCTGCCAGCAACCAAACCTGCGTCATCAATGCCACAAGTAGTGACCAAATAAAAATGTTATAAATGGGCAGGGCTTTGTTTGTGCAGAATAAAATTGGCTGTGTGTTTTGCCCTTACGCACGTGTCGCCTAACCTAATGTCCACATGCATTAAACAAAGGCAGTGAAAATAAAACGTCTGCGGATGTTGCTGTGTTTTTCTATCGCTACCGTTACGTGCAAGCGTCATTTTCTTGATGGTGCATCTCCGCGGGTCGTCGCCAGTCGCCATAAATTGTCTCCACTTGGCAATTCGCAAAGCCCGTACCTGTGTTTTTGTTGTCAGTTGTATCACCGCTTTCCTAAAATTCAGTTTTGAGTCCGAGCTTCCCATTGCGATTATTTTCCCTTCTATTCCCGATTGATGCGGCTGCTATGGATCCCTGATAATCTCCCCTCCGTCCTCCCCTTGACTCACTGTTGGAGGCGTCTGATTTGCGATTGGTTCAGTGAACAGGATGTAGTTTCCGGGTTGCAATCATGTCTGGCTGTACCCTTATGTGCACCCTGTATCCACGGGTGGCTCTATCGTGCATTTGTCTTGTACATAAACTTGATAAGGCTATTTTGTTCTTTAATAGACTTTCAGATAATCAAGATTTCGATCAATAGGCCAGACAGCTTAACTGCATAACAGCTACAGTAGTATTTACGTAAATGGCCAAATAGTGTTTTGGCCATAAGGATAGCCAATCTTGGCCTAACAAAATGAACGAGTGTCTGACATGGGCTGGACTACTGTTCAACCTCTAATTTATTAGGTGCTACCCACAGTAATATATGTGATGCATGACAACTATTTTAAACTTTGGTAAACCATAAAATTGGCCAGTGTTCCTGCGCGTGCCTTGAAAGCGTCACAATGAGCTTCTGCGCAGCCGCAGTGCCATGTAAACACAGATGACGAGGGTGCTGTGCTAGTTGTAGATGTGGCTAATTGTTACAAGTTAGCTAGCGTTAGATCAAAACAGGCAAATCTCACTTAACTGTGAGTGTGCTCGTGTTTTTCTGTGGCTCTAGGGTAGCAATATTTACAGCGTTTAAGGACAGTTATTTGAAAGTAATTCGAGCGATGTATTGCTTGGTTGCTAGCTAAATTATAATCTTAGCTAGTTTGCGTTGCTCGCTCTAGCCTTTATCTCTCATTTCTTCTTTCTGTCGTTCTGTAGATAAGGTTATTGTGTTCAGACACATCGTAAAATGTTTCTTTAGTTGTTCAGCTCGCAATATGGTATTGTGTTACATATTTAGCTAAGCAGCCAGACCACTGGTTGGAGATAACAAGCTAATAACTCGAACAAAACAGGCATCTTATGTCCTGCGTGGAATAAAGCAAGCGAGGGATCATTCTCTGAATATATGTGCATCCCATAACCCCATGTTGACGGAAAACAGGTGAATAAGCTTTTTAAATATTCGAAACTTATATTTCATAGGTTTTGCTCTTGGAGATAATAGCCAGTTAGTCAACTAATGTGCTGTGTCATAGTTAATCTACTCACATGAAATTATTTGCATAGATTATCAAATACTCTTATGCATTGTAACCATATGAGTTTAACAGACTGAAGCAATACTAGCCTTAGCCACTAAAATAAAAAGTAAAAGTAATTTTGAAAAATTAACCCTGTGTTGTGTTGCATTTAAACAGGAAGCGAGCTCGCAGTGGAGGAGATGTGGAGAATGGCCTGTTACCCCAAGCCAAACGACAGAGCAGGGGTCATCCTGTCTCTCCAGAGCCCGGCCGAGATGCCTGGGACTCAGAGGTACAATACAAGCCTGATAGTTAAAACATACTTTTTCTATATATTCTTTATCTATATCTTTTGAAGTTTTCACTCACAATGGACAGACCACTGAGGAGAGAAGATTATTAGGGTCTTTAACTGTGTATACACTAAGACAGTGCATCTCAAGAAATGTGCACATTTATAGCATCTAATATAAGTAAAACCTTCATCAAAGTTGATGCCTCCTGGAGTTGTATTTTGCATTGGTCACGCGTTTCAGTAACTCCTTACTATTAGTCTGTCTACATCTCCAAAGTTCAGAATGCTCAGGTCCACCTTGGACTTAGTGGTAGTTTTCAAGTTAACAGCTACAGTTTACCATTGATTCAGTAGAGAGTGACAATTCCAGGGCTGAAATTATCCAAATGATGGATAAGGTGGAGGTGGAGAAGGTGTATGGAGTTTAAAAACCCGATGAAGCACTTCCTGTATTTCCACATAACATGATAAAATGGAACAGAGTGTTTTCTGTTCAAGAGAAGAACTCAGCCTAAACATGCATGACTGACACATAAAACATCTCTAGGTATGTTTTGATGAGGAAACAACATTATAACATAGATCAGAAAATGGCCCTTTAAATGGAAATGGTTGTCGTATCAATTTTGCTAAATCTCCACATACTAAAACTAATGTCTGTACTGCGACTGTGCACTTTGTTTGTAGCCAACAGGATTTTCATTACATGACACTGTTCAATAATGTAACATGCACACTCCCAGACAACAAAAACACATGTTTATGTTGAATATGCTGCCTAGTGGACTAATCATGTTATTCGATGTTTTTCAGTCTTCCAACAGTGAGACCAGCAGCAGTATCAGCAGTCCAGAGCACTTGATTGCTGGCTCCTCCAGTCAGTGTGCTGTGGGTCCCTGCAGTCCTTTAAGTTCAACAGAGACCTCCGATGTGGGTCGCCCTTCAAACCTGGTTTCCTATCAGCACATTAACCGCATCCTTAAAGAAGCGCACTTCCAGAGCCTACAGTGTAGAGGACTGCATCGAGACACACACCAGACATGTCCTCCAAATCAATAACATGCTAAAATGCTCCTCTGCCCGTCCACAAAAGCCAGCTGATAATGAATAAATGGTGGTTTTAAAGCATTTGAGCAATAATTTTAAAATGATCATGGGACCGATTTTGTGACCTGGCTGTATTTGGACCAAGTAGTTAATACACCTCTGAAAAATCACTGTTTGACTTAATTTGTAGTTTAAACACATGCATCTTGGATTTATTAGAGTAGAAGGAAGTTGTAGGTTGTGCATTTTAATGTCTGTGATAGCACAGGGACCACTCTCAGGGATTTTGTGTTTAGACTTTTCATCTCATTATGCCAGGGTCTTTACAGATGTTGTTGAGGAACTCTTTTTGCACTTAGAGGTTAGTATAAAGTTTAGAAGACTTTAGAATCAAGCATTAGTAACATAGTCTCTCACCCACCTTCCAAAAACAAATGTGAAATGTCTGTTTACTTGAAACCAGAGCAACTCCATTTGAATTCTTCTATTGCAAATCTTTTCTCTTTTGTAACCAAGCAGGTGCAATACTGCCACCCCTTCCCTATAATTTCAGAGTTTCCAATATCAGACATCTGGGCCTTTTAATTGTGCACTATGTTCTTCTATTTAAAGGTTGTTATATACGTATGTGTGTGCACTGAACAACACAGCACTGCCTCCAAGTGGCAGTGTAAAGATTTGCTCTTTCACTTCATGATCCCAGGACATTCTTTTTTGTGTCTGAAAACATTTGAAGATGTATTTTTTTTCTATTATATATTTTTTCTATATAGAGATAAACATAACATTAATCAGCCATTGACTTTTTCTTGTAAATACCGTGCCATTTGAGAAATAAAAAAATACAGTTTTTAACAAAGGCCTTCTGACTGGTGAATAGAAATTAATTTTAGTTTTATTAACTTTTTTCTTGTCAAAATGACATCTTTGTTGCAAGTGGACAAAATTGATAGAGATGAATTTGCCACAACAATATAAAACAAAAGGCAACAAAAGAGGGTGGGAAAATTCCATTTATCTCAAGTTGTAGTGTCCTAAAATGTCAAATCTCCTTTAGTATATATAAAATTTAAAGTGATGACACAATCCCAATCTCTATAGTGATTACTTTTTGGTCTCTCAGTACAGTCTCTGTGGACACAACCTCCTCCAAATAGCCAGTAATAAATGACTCCCCATGCACACAGACCATCATTAATGAGATATGACCTGTGTCCATGGGAGGAGCAGCAAAAGGCTTCTTTAATTAGCACTCAACATGTCCTTGTCTTGTCACGCACACAGTAACAGATTACATACATTAATGCACCACAGTAACCACGGATACCTCGCTGCTGTTACCATGGACAACTCATTACTGGCCTCCACTTTTGGCATACACCTTTACATGGTATTCGAGGTGAAGGCTGATGGAAATTCACCTTTTGAAATGTAATCTTACATTTTTAATACACATCTAAAAAAAAATAATGTATTAGTTAAAACATTATATGGAACAATATTTTTTTTGTCTACCAACAGGCTGATTTTTAACTAGTTACAGTAGTATAAACTGCATTTAACAACACTTCTTTTTTTGTATTTAACGACAGAAAAAAACATTGTTAATAAAGTAATCTGTTACTAAGAATTTGTTCTTAATATTTTGCCTGGTCAAATAAAACAAATCAAAATAAATACATCAAATTAGGACCTAATGAACAGATTTTTTCATTGTCAGTAATAACAAAATGCTAATAAAAAGATTCCTTTGGCTTTTGGTTTCATTTACTTTTTGATGGATGAAGAGTCAATATTTGTAGTATTTGTATAGTCTAATATGCCACTCTATTTGTCTGTTTTGGCAAAATTAAAAATAGCTTGACAAAAAGTTTGTTTTCAAGGAAGAAGCAGTAGATGGCAGCAAACTCTGTCTTAGAAAACTCCAAACATTATTCCTCCTCCTACAGTGATTTTTATAAATGCTACAAAATCAGCATCCATGTCCAAATGTGTGGGCTCTATGGAACTTATCTGTCTTTAATCTGTTCTCTCTCAGTCTCCCTCTCTCACTTCCTCCCTTACTCTTCCCTCTCTTTCTCACATACACACACACACACACACACACACACAGTGGCCTTTTGATGCTGTGCTAAAGATATGGAGGATAAAGAGGTGGGTGGTGATGAATGGCTTGTATCAGTCGAGTGGAGAGGCAAGAGAGAGTTAAGCGAATTGTCCTTGTTCTGGGGTCTATGTATGCGCATATATTGTTATATTTTTACTGTGGCCAGCAGAAAAATCTGGGTTAGTAAACCTGCTTTATACACTGTCCTCTCAAAGATTCACTACTTAAGCATCTACTAAAGTTTAATCCCATTTTATGCTTCATGCTTGAACACTACATGTAAAAAACAACACCTCTTCAGTTTAAGATTAGATTTTCTTTTTGATTTACATGCAGATATTTTGCATTGCACTGACACCAAACTATAGCGCAAACAAAAAAGGCTATGAGAGAAGTTTCACGATCTATTTTCATCATATCTCTTTGAATACATGCACAATATGTCTCTTACTGAACTACATTGGCTAACTGCTGTTTGAGCTGGCTGGAATCGTTATTGTATTGGCTTGACTTTTACAGCTTTCCATCAGCAGCCAACGCTAACATCTGCTTTCCCTCCCCATCTCCATTTGCCATTTTGCTCCATATTAAACAACCAAAAGCGAGCCTGCATTTCTGCCCCTTTGGCCATCCCCAGAATTAATGACCCGCTGAGCATATTAGCAGTGGCCTATTGCTCTGGCCTGGCTGGAGAAGGGGAGCGGGAGGAGCCATGGCAGGTGAACAAGGACTAGCTGGAGATAGTGGGTCAGTATGATGAAGTATGGGTCAAGATTCAAAAATAGATTGTTATAGGCTTCCGCAAACTAACCTTTGTTTTATAGGTGCTGTAGACAGAGGTGGTTTGTGTTGCTATAACAATGTCTTAAACTTTTATTCATTAGTTCCCCCTATTTATTTTATGGCCTAGTACCCATATTAAAGCTTTGTTAGAAAGGAATATTTGAGGAAACCAACCTGTATCTTATAGAAATGCATGTTCCTTTAACAGTTTACTGTTTTAATTGTGCTGTATATTATCTATAACCTGTAATTTTGCACTTTTTATTTTTCAGTATCCCTGTTCAAAAACACCAAAGGGCATACCCATGTATAGAGCAGGCAATGTAAAATGTGATTTAAATTTTATTGATCATGTAGTCCGACCGGAAAAATTATGACATAACATGCAACTGCCAAATTTGTATGCAAAAATATAATAATAATTCCCACATAATTTAGCTTACACATCCTTTTCTGTTGGCTTGAAGAGTTTACTTATTTACTTAAGAGCACAAATCAGATCCACCTTATAAAAAACTGTAAAATAGTTTGTAGAGAGGCTGCTGTCTTGTTGCCAATTTACCATGACAAAGCCTATGTTATTTAAAAGCCCTCTATTATGTCAGAGTTAACTGGCACCATTCAAACGTGCTTTGTTAGCCCCGTTAGCCTTGCCTTGTCCATGCCCCACTGCCCAGCCACATGGCACGCTCCATCACCAGACGACTAATGTGGCGCCCCTCACCATCGCCAAGGTACAATTTGTTGCATCTCGACGATAACTGTCAGGAAGAGCTATGCCCACACTCAAATGGCAGCCCATAATCTGCCCCTCTCCCAGTATTATCTTAATTGAACCCACGGGTGTCCAATGCCATCAAATTGCTTAGCTCATTTGCAAATTAATAAAATATGAGCTCTGCAAATCTATGGCTTTAAAAGAGTTGGAAGATACTTTGATGGAGTCCTTTGTTGGTCACAAATGTAAGATAATATACTTTGTTTTATATCACTCCAGGCCTTTTTGCCATTATTGCTGACTACTGTGTTTTTATTGTTCAAGAGGAGTCGGCAGCATCAACAAGTGCCACATCGAATTGTTCTGACAGCCCGTTCCTGACACATACTATGAAGAAGGGGACATTGTATGAAGTGGTCATAATAAAAGCTCCGATCTTAATAACACCAGAATCCTGCGGGGGCGCTGGAGCAGACCACAGGTTATTAAAAGCATCTATCACGTCTTTTAGGTTAGTGGCCACTTACTGTCCACTCTTCTCCATCCCTTTGCAATGGCTCCTCTGTTGAACATCAGGTGTGTGACAGCCAACTTCTTTTGTTTTCAATTTCTTTTATAACTCAAAACCAGTCCTGGTCAACTTACCAATATCTGATATTTGTCTTGCTATTGTGGTTGATCACTCATATTTGCTGATTCGATATCAAGATTTTAAACTCTATAGCAAGGCCCACGTCAAGTTCTAGTAGTCCAAAAATTAACTTTCCTAAAAATATATTACTAATATATTTATCAGGCATATAAATGTTGTATAATTACTCTGTTATATTGTCACTGATATACTGACGATCTTTATTTTCAACCGATGCAAGAAACAACAAAGATTCACATGATTTGTTCTTTGAGCTGTTCCCAGGCTCAGAAGCAGGTTTAGTGAGAAAGGCCAATGTAGCATAAAGATATTTCTTTTACCTAAGATAAGAAAACAGAAGAATGAGCACAATGAAAACAAAACATGCCATAATACTCCTGTCATTTCCCTACCCCAACAGTAAAACCACCAGCCTCCTCAGCTTCATGACTTTCACTTTTTCACAAAAACAACGTAAACCCAGGATGAATAGTATATATCTTTCCTATAAAAATCTCTCCTCATTGCATTTTGAAAACTGGAAATTAAATTATCACAGAGATGAAATTAGTCCCCTAAATCAGAACATGTTGAGAACCGTTGACCTAAAAAACAAGTCTAAATACCTCGCCTTGAGTGCTCTTTTAAACTTTTAGTGTATTCACGAGTGTATTTTACAGGCCTAACGCACCAATGAAAAACCTCTCTAAAGAAAGGAATGCTGTAAAAAGACCATGACATCTTGGTGAGCCATCGCCTGTGAACATCTCCACACGCATGTTGGGTTTACATGCTTTTTGGGGACATTACATTGATTTACATGGGCCTAACCTTAATTATAGTGACTAATTGCCTAACCTTAATCTAATCTAAACTCTAACCTTAACCTATTTTAACTCATATCTGATCTTGATATATTGCTACCGAGAAATATTGTGATACATGATAATACTGAAATTACCTGATGCAAATCTTGATGATCCCAGTAAACCTAATTTCACTATTATCATTAAAAAGCTTGAGCTGCAACAAATATAATAATAATATAGCAATGAACTGATAATCAGCCATAGCAGTTATTTATTCTACTCTCTACAGCTCATATCTTATAACGTATTACAGAAAAATGACAAAAATCCCTCCTCTATTGCAAAGAAATTGTTCCCAAAATAAATACTGAGCCTCAAAACATACTGTTCAAGCTTTCATATATTAAAATCGATATTGTAATTATCGTAACAGGCCTACGTTGACCTGATTTCTGTCCTCATAGGTAGGTTTCTGTAAAGTGAGTGTGTATATTCTGTAGATTTTAGCCCCCACGATGCAATTAATACCCTGCCACACACTCTTCCAGCTTACATGGTTACGCTGGGTCAAAGGGAGTGCGGACCCAAGCGAGAAAACATGCAGCGTCTCTGAAACAACAGTAGGTAATCCTTAAACGGAGCTCTGTTTGGGCATGTGCATGACTGTTGAAACACTCCGATGCCACTGTGAATAATGGCCCACACTTGTCTATGCTGGACTGGTTACAGAGTGGGGGGTGTAAAAACAAAGGCTAATCATCAAACCACAAGAGAAATGAGTTCCCATGAGCAGTGCAAACATGGGCTGAGA